ATAAAACATCAGATGCTGTGCCAGTTGCAGAGGCTTTTCATACCAAACGTTTGTTAGATCTGCCCAAGACATTCTGAATGACCAGCCTCTGCAACAGGTTGTAGCATGTTTATTAAAGACAGTTCAGTGCAGGATACGTGGACTAACAGTGTGTTTTTACCTTACAGCTCCTGACAACAGTTCTGAGTTCACTGAGAAACTGAATCCAGAAAACTGATTTCCAAACACATTCTGCACGCAGTGATTGTTTTTTAAAACGAGCTGCGATACACGAAGATAATCGATACCTGAAATTATTAAAACAGAAAAAGTGCAATTATTTTAACTTTGCTAAAGTTGGTTTTCTGCAACACAGGTGAAGTAGCTTCATATTCATCCTGAAAACTCAAATCTTGAGTATTTCTCAATAACATTAAACAGTCATGGCAAAAAAAAAGCAACAACATCAAAAACATCTAATGATATTATTTATTAGGATTTTATGACTCAAGATTAATGAATGAAAATAAGGGTCATCAGGATTGTGAGTGTGCTTACATCAGATTTGATTGCCAACAACCAAACAACCCTACAACTTATCGGATTTGAATTCAAATGTTGCCAGTACCTTGAATAATACATCTAAACATTTTAAAGTCTGTTAACTGCAGTCTGCATAAGTTTCGTCTTTGTTAGCATTTTCCAGGTAAAAGTTCAACTGGTGTTTTAAAGAACTGTCCATATTGAATTATATATAATTTAAAAGCTTGTTTTCTAGTTAACATTGTTAGCTAGTTCATATATCAGATATCTACAAGAAATGTGTTCATGTGACAAACAGTTATATTAATGCTAAGTGTGTTTCTAATGCGTTAGCTAATCTTAAACAGCCGTTTTGTACGACAAGTTATTTTCCTCGCCCTTCAAGGCAGTTTGGTCATTTAAATTTTACACACTGTTTCTTAGATCTTATAGCAAGACATTTACAGAGTTTGTTTGTGTTATTTTATCTGTAAATGTGTGGTATAAAAGGGTTCGTAACACATATGACTGGTACATTTTGAATAAATCCATAAAAAAATATTTTAATAAACCCTTCCATAAATGTCTGGCCATTTGTGGATAAGACACATTGCTCTGGTTGGGGACAGCTGGGTTTGATCACCACTACATCATTCAGCAGTGTGTCCCTGAGCAAAACACTTAACCCCTATTTCCTCCAGAGGCGTGCAACCTCTGACATATATAGCAATTGTAAGTCGCTTTGGAAATGTGTCAGCTAAATGACTAATTGTTATTGTTGTTATATGTAGATCAGCGTGAGGAAATAACTCATTTGCATTTAAAATATTAAAAACATAAAAAAGTTGTAATTCCTTTCGGCTTGTAAAGTTTCATTGTGAATATGAGTATTTGACTATTCTGTCTCACTTAAATAATCAAAACTGTTTACCAGAAAGTACTGTGTCTATGAAGTCATTACTAAGCGACTAAATTAGTAAGGAAATATGTTTTGTTTGTTTGTTTGTTTGTTTTATGGCACTAATATTTAAGGGCTGGGGAAACATTTTATGTGGCAACATTTATACAGCAACTTTAATAAATCATCCCCAAAAAATATTCAACTGATTAAAAACTAAATTTGAAAAGACCAGTGTCATGGTTACTGAGTTCACAGATATAAAAATGTTTTGCGTAAATATTCTTTAAATTGTGGTAATTACTTTTCCTGAAAGCTCAACATTCAGCATGTAAGAATATGTAATTGACAGTCTAATGCATTTTAAAATCATTATTGTGAAATTATATCAATTATAACAAACAAAGAGAACAAGCAGTAAACAAGCCTTTTAAATAGCCAATACAACCAATAATAACTACATGTTATTGGTTGGGCTATTTAAAGGTATTTTAACAGGTTCGAAGGACTGACTGAGCTATAATCTGTCACATTTAATTCTCATGATGAAATCAAGTCAATTTAAGGCAAAAACAACTTTCAACTTACAAGGTAAGAGTTGCTAAAAATGTTGGTCATGGCTGACCGTGACAAACTGATGTTTCTTTGCCGTCCTTTATATAAGATGTTAATCCGAGGTCCTGACTCATTGTGGTCATTAAAGATGCCAGAGTTGGGGGTTCACTGGTGTCGTGGCTAAATTCCCAACCTGGCTTTCTCTATCTGGCCATCTAACTATCCCACACAGAAATTGGCTCTATGCTTCCCTCCCTCTCTGCCTCAGGCTAATGTGTGGTGAGCGTTCTGGCACAAAAGGGTTGCTCTCCATCACCCAGGGAGCTACACATTGGTGATGGTTGAGATCCCCCCCAACTTCATTTACATTTACTCATTTGATGCTTTTATCCAAAGTGATTTACATTTGAGGAAAAGTACATAAGCATCAACAAAGCATTAAAACAGCCCAAGATCTATAACTGACAATACATACTAGTAAGCGCAGCAATAAATACTAGTAAGAGCTCATAGCACATATCGCATCAATGGAGTAAATGCCTAGAGAAAGAAGTAAGAGTTAACAAAAAAGTGCTATCGATTCAAGAGAATTGTAAGAAGGATAGAAGAAAAACAGCACAGGAAGTGCATGTTAGAGGTCAGGGGTTAGAGAGACAGTGTTCTCGGAAGAGATGAGTTTTCAAGAGCTTCTTGAAGTTAGAGAGGGACGCCTCTGCTCTGATGGCGTGTGGTAGCTCCTTCCACCATCGTGGTGTCACAGAGCCAGGCGGCGTTTGCTGGAGGAGCGTAGTGGCCGAGAAGGAACTTAGGCTTGTATTATGGAGTTTAGGTAGCTGGGGGCAGACCCAGTACTCACTCTGTATGCAAGCATTTGTGACTTGAATCTGACTCAGGAGGCCACGGGGAGCCAGTGGAGGTCACTGAGTAATGGAGTGACTTGAGTCCTTTTGGGCTGATCAAAAACCAGTCGGGCTGCTGTGTTCTGAACCATTTGTAGGGGTTTCACCGCACAGGCTGGATGACCTATTAGGAAGGAATTGCAATAGTCTAGATGAGGGATAACCAGGGCCTGTACCACAAGCTGGGTGGTGTACTGAGTAAAGTAGGACCTGATTTTTTTTATGTTGTATAAAGCAAAGAGGCACGACCAAGAGACAGCAGCAATGTGGTCTGAAAAGGACAGCTGGTCATCAATCATGACACCCAAGTTCCTCACCACCCTGGTTGGAGTGATGGTTGAGGAGTCAGTTTGTAGTTTGATGGTCAGATTGCAGATTGCTTGTCTGGACTGACAAAAAGATCAGTCTTAGAGAGGTTTAGTTGAAGGTGTCAAGCCTTCACCCATGCTATATGTCTGAGAGACAGTCCGTGATCCACGCCGAGACGGTGGGATCGTCTGGTGGGAAGGATCATGGACTTAGTTCACTCTGAAGCGCTTTAAGTTTCTATGATAAAGCGCTATATACATGTAATGCATTATTATTATTATTATTATGAGTGTGCAAGTGATATATATGTTGATATATGTGATATTTTACTCGTTTACGGTCTACCAGTCTAGCTACATCATTTAGTAATCCTTAAAAGTCAGTAAAACCTGTAGGCTATATTACATTTTTCTGATTAACTTTCATGCAGATGAATTTCAGAGATTATTTACCATAACCAGCTACCTAATAACCCTGTTCACGCTGTGTTCACTGGGAGGCTGCTGAGCGAGGTTTTCATTGCCCGTTCGCCCGGCTACGGTTCCCAATCAGGCATCGCACCCCGTGTAACTTAAACACCTTTATAAGGGCCCATGTCCAACAAATCATGGACAACTGAGCTAATAACAGTAGCTAGTTAGCTTGTTAACTAACTTACAACAACAAGTAAAGCTATCTGTCCATCAGGAAACTCTTCGAATCACAGAGTTGAGGCAGAGCAGCCGGAGAGAAAACTAGAATATATTTTCTCCATATTTAAAGTAAATATTATAATTATATTATTATAATTTCTCCATCAAATATGATCCATCAAATCTGATCCAGTTTCACCAGAATCAGTGAAGAAAGTTGTGTTTTTGTACAGTAATCAGTGGGGCCCGGCAAACACTTCAACAGCTTCATATTGTTTTCATTGGATGCTAAATTAATACAAGTGCAGAATGAGTAATCAAAATTGTAAAATGGTTTTCCAAATGACAAACTTAAATATCATTAAGAATACCCACAAAACAATGTTTTTGTCATTGATGGGCGAGATACTGCCATAGTGGCTCATCATATAAAAACATTTAAATATGGATTTGGGGAATAGGAGATTTAGTTATTCTATGTTTCTCTAAAAATACACAGAGCAGAAATGCATCAATGATACTTCTCTTGTCTTCATTTGCCTCTTTGGCATTGAAGTAATCCAAAAGTAACTAAAAGTAATTTTGTGGTAGTTTTTTAATATAAAATGGACAAAGTACTCATCTAATACGAAGAGGCTTGTCTCACTTGTGCAGTGCAGTAATACAATTGGACATATGTTTGGAAACGTGGGTCACATGAAAAGGAAGCTATTGGGAAACAATGCTATTTTATTTTTCCAGTAAAAAAGTCAGTTATAGATGGTCCCTAAGCAAACCCACTTCTCGTACTGGAGCGTCACACAGGACACAGACAAGTCTATGTAAGGTAGTTAGTTAACAGTGATCCAGAAGATCAATTTTCACCCAGAAGACGAGTGTTCGTTTCCGGTGTCAAAAATGTATATTTTATGTTACAGAAGTCGCGAAAATTAGCCAAGCTTCATCACTTACATAAGTGAAGTGATGAAGCATAAGTAATGGTTATTTTAACCCAAACAGTGATCCTTTCCTAAACCTAATCAAGTAGCCTAGTTTTGGTGCCTAAACTTAACTAAATAGCGACGTTTCAGATTGTTAAAAGTAGGCGACTTTTATTTTGAAAGTGTAACTGGACAATGCAAATTTATTGTTGCTAACTTGACCGCGCAGCCCTAAATGTCCAAACCATAGACATATGTAGACATATTTATATGTATATAGACGTGGTCCAAACGACGCCAAAGGCGTTGGTGTTGATCAAACGTCCAAAGCGGCGAGATAAAGACTTTGTTCAGAGCAGGAGCTCTCGGAGCTCAGCTGATCCGACCTTACACTACCCAAACTGGTGAAACTGAGTAAGAAGACGCTACTGGATCCTGAGTGAATGTCCGTCAAATATCCGACTTAAAACTGACTGGTTAAACCAGGGTGGTCGAAAATGTAACGTTACCTGAAAAACAACGCAGTCCACAGACCGAGATGAGCAGTCAGTGAGCATTTCAGTCTTATAGCCACGAATCTTTATCAAAATACGATGGACATGATGTTTTTGTTGCTTCTCTTCTGTCACGTTTCATCAGCAGGTAAGATCAGATTTTAAATCTTTACTTTTGCTCTTTGGACACACTTGATAAGCCTGATGTGACTGAACCTAATAATACTGAATACACATTTTTGTAAACTGAATGTTTAACCTTGTTTGTCCTACAGTGAAACACTCCCTGAAGTATTTCGTAGCTGGATCTTCTGGAGTCTCAGACTTCCCAGAGTTCATGGGAGCTGCAGTGGTTGATGGTATTCTGCTGGGTTACTGCGACAGCAACACCAGGAAAGTAGAAACAAAACAGGACTGGGTGGAAAAACTTTTAGAAAACGACACTCAGCAGTTACAGTATTACAACCATGAGTGTTTTGAGTATCTGCCGAACGTCTTTAAAGACAGGATACATTTTTTTAAGCAGCACTTCAACCAAAGTGGAGGTAAAGTATTAATGTTTGTTATATTTTACATTTTACTGTTAAAATGTTTTGCTTCTTTGTTTGGTGTTTACAGATATAGCCTCTATTATAGACATGTACACGTATGTAAACGTTTTTAGAGCTGGGACTGTTTCTGAGTCTGCAGGTGTCACACAGGTCTGACTTTCTGTATATAATTTTGAGGTGCACAGAATTAAAGAAGACACCCACCTTGTATAGTCGCATAAAAATAACTGCTAATGTAACTTTTAAACAGTGGCATAAATTGATAGAAAGACAGATGGAGATGTCGTCTGTGCATCCTCATAATCAAATTCTCAGTTTCTGTCTCTCTCTCAGGTGTCCATGTTTTACAGAGGATGAACGGCTGTGAGTGGGATGAGGAGACAGGAGAGGTTAATGGTTTTAATCAGTATGGTTATGATGGAGAGGACTTGATGGCATTTGACCCGAAGACATCGACATGGATCACTTTGAAACCACAGGCTTTCACCATCAAAGAGAAATGGAATGCTGATGAACCTAGAGCAAAACACAATGAGATTTTCCTCACTCAGATTTGTCCTGAGTGGCTGAAGAAGTCTTTGGACTATGGAAACAGCTCTCTGCAGAGAACAGGTAGAATCACATGACCTGATGTAGACACAACAATGTTCAAAACTCTGCTCAGACTGACTTGCTGTTGTATTATCGCTCCAATCAATCTGACATAACCTTATTTTGGTGGCAATAAGATTTGATTTAGCCATAAATCAATCAGTAGAGGCTGACATTTTGGGTAAATTAGGATGGTGATGGGACAGAGGATAAGAATCAAGCCTTTGGTTTGAGAGACCTGAATTCAATTCCCCACTGTGACACAACCACCAATGTGTCCCTGAGCAAGACACTTAACCCCTAGTTGCTCTAGACGTGTGCGACCTTTGACATGTATAGCAATTGTAAATTGCTGTGGATAAATGTAAATAACTTTTTTATCAAAGCTGAGACTGTGAGTTAGTGCACTGTTAGTAGAAGTTAATTTTTTCAGATTAGATTTTTCTAAAATATTGAGTTCAATTAAAACATTGAAACTGATTGACTACTTTGCTGTGAACCATAAGAACAGGCAAATCCTTCTTCTCTGACTGCAGTGAGTTTCTTTAGTGTTGGTGTCACTACCTTCTCTGTCTCTATGTGGAAGCTGTGTAACAAAATGGGTTGTTATGTAGTTCTTATGCTGTTGATCATGAGACGGCTGTACTGGCCTGTACATGAAGAGCATTTACCTGAAAGAAAACAGCCTAATGGATCTGCTGTGTCTTGAGTTCACTTTAAGGTATCCTGGAGATTTTGACCTGTAGTGGTGCCATGGAGCTTTAGTTTTTACAAGCAGATCCCTGTTTGTTTGGATCTTGTTCACACACACAAGGACGCACATGCATGCGTGTATGAAGGACACGGACGTTAATCCTGAACAGTTGGCCGCATTAAATCAACTACAGAGGCAGTGAATAAAAGACTGTTTACAATGCATGATTTAAAACAAATTTAAATCAGGTTTGGAAATGTCCATAAGGAAGGAAATGTATTCAACACATTTGTTAGACCTCAATGACACACAATACATTTTGGTGAAAAAGACTGAATGCTAAAATAATTTTGGCTTTCAGAGGAAAAACCTTCTGGCATGATTTTCATCATAGTCCATATTATTAGTAACATTACAACAATAATGTTACTAATAATATGGACTTATTCATTTATTTTGCTTGAAAGAATTTTCACACCTTCAGTTATTGATTCCCTATTTTATTTTTTTAACATGCTTTTACTTTGTTTTCTTTCCTTTCCTGTTCACCCCTTTCTCTCTCTCTCTTTCTCTTTCTCTCTCTCTCTCCAGAGCTTCCCTCAGTGTCTCTCCTCCAGAAGACTCCCTCCTCTCCAGTCAGCTGCCACGCTACAGGTTTCTACCCTGACAGAGCCACGATGTTCTGGAGGAAAGATGGAGAGGAGCTTCATGAGGACGTGGACCACGGAGAGATCCTCCCCAACAACGATGGATCCTTCCAGACGAGTGTTGACCTGAATCTTTCATCAGTCACACCTGAAGACTGGAGGAGGTACGACTGTGTGTTTCATCTCTCTGGTGTGAAGGACGACATCGTCACCAAACTGGACAAAACAAAGATCAGAACCAACTGGGGCAAAGGTGAAAAATACACATTTATTTATTTTCAGTTATATTTTCACAGTCAGTTTAACTTTTACCATCTATTCTAAATGATTAAAGACTAAGATCAGTATTAAACTAATTAATCGTCCTCTACCAGGATCGCTAGTCAGATCATGTGACCCTGACAGTGATAAAAGCATTTTTAATTACAAATGTTATAATTAATATAATAATAATTAATTAATTATGTACTAATACTACAAAAGGTTTAAACATATCTTAAAGGGGAATTACACACATTTTCATGATGCCGATTGAGCAAATGTGATTGGAGATTTCACCTAAAACACTGTAACACTCTTATTTCACAGAATACAACTGAATATTTTTACCTTTTACCATCTGCAATGGAAATTTTCCTAAAGGGAGTCTTCTGAAGTAAAGAATTCAATCCAGACGTCTTTTAAGGGTTTTATTCTTTTCACAGGGTCAGACACACATACAGAGTGCAACCAGTCAGCAGAGTGTAAGACCAAGAGCCAGTGAAGAAACAGGTGACTTTATACTGTAAGGGTATTACGCAGCTGTCTTAGGGAGGAAGGGAGTAGGGACCACCTGCTCTGAGATGAAGGACAATCAGATAAGAAACTGTCTAATGAGCTACTTTCCCCCTGGGAACTTTCACCTAGCTGCAACATAATAAAGTTATCACAGCAATGCAGCATAAAAGGTAAAACAGTAAAATATAAAATTTCCATCACACATCCCTAGTAAATGCTTACTTACTTACTTGTTTGAGGTTCAACTAACCCATTCTCATTACATGATAACTTTACATTTACTGCATTTAGCCGTCGTGACATCGTCGTTAGCTCACCTGCTGCTTTTCAGTAACTAACATGACTATCTGTGTATTTTTACCATTGCATCCTTTCTTGCAGGCTAAGTCAACACTTTGACTTAATACACAGGTAAGTAATATGGGTCCCGTTAGTTGGTGAAGTAATGTGGAAAGCGATACAACTTTGCACCAGAGAACATGTTTCCCCAGCCTTTCTGATGTTTTCACCGACATCATCTATATCTCATTTGGTCTGTTTGGGCTTCATCACATAAACCTTTATTGTTGTTTTATATCCTTACGTGGAGTTTGTGTTGAAGTGTGTGTTGTGCTGGGAGCCGATTGTTTTATGGTGTTAGTGGACTGCATGTCGTAGCTGTGGTGTTGTCACTGTAGTCGGAGACAGGATCGCGAGCGCACACAGAGCTACATCCTGACCCGGTGTCCATTTATAGCAGATATGCAAGCAACAGAGAAAACAGGCATGTGCTTCATTTCTAAGTGAGGTTACAGCACGTTGACAAAAAGGAAGACAAAATTTGATCTATTAAAGGGGCTTTATGGAGTTTTCAGCAGCCACTAGCGCTGCGGTTCTAAGATTGTAACCTGCTTGAACTCATGAACTCAGCAGCTTGCAGGCTGTGGCTTTTCACTCAGACATGTTCTGGCTCTGTTACTTCAACGTTCCCGTCTCAGAGGCAGATCAACATCGGCTCCGTACCTTTCATACAGCGCAGCGAGCCGCATATCAGCACAATACTTGTCAAAGGTTACAGTTTTTCTGGTGTCCGAAGCTAGTGATGGGATACAAGAGATTATATTGTATTCACCACCTTTACGTGTGATGAACATCTTCACATGTTGTGATCACTTTATGTTTGTTTGTTTTTTGCTGAACAGTTGATTCCAGTAACATCACCATCCTGATGGTTGTTCTTGCTGTCGTCCTCATTGCTGTTATTGGATTTACTGTTTACAAAAAGAAGAAAGGTGAGAGACTCATGGGAGCTGAGTTTATGTTCTTATCCAGACTGCAAAGCTGAAGCAACATTAAATAGTAAACAAACATCTGAAGCAACCAACATTGTAAGACTAGTAGCCTATGAGATAAACTTACAGCATAATACGCATCTAAAACAAACAGGAAAGGGGATTTATATATCCATTTAATTTACATGAGAGAAAATGAGAATCAGGAAAATGAGAAGATGAGAAAAGATGTTCTACTATTTTCAACTGTGACAAGTGAAATGATTTGTCTTTCTGTTTTTATTTCAGCCAAACAACCTCAAACTCGTAAGTAGTATCTTGTTTTTATTCTGTTGTCTCTGATCTGACATGCACTGTAGATTGAAAAGGTGTTTCAGTGTGAGCTGAGGTAGTTCAGTGCAGGAAAAGAGGACTAACAGTGTGTTTCTGACCTCACAGCTCCTGTCAACAGCTCTGAGCTCTCTGAGAGACTGAATCCAGAAACAACACAATACCCTGCACCATAGACTGAATAAAAGCCGTGCGCAAAGTCCCGTCATGTGGTACGGAAACACTAACAAACAGTAAATGCTGTGACTTTGTTAACGCTGCTTTCTAAATTGCACGGAACACTGAATTTTCCTAATTTCTCATATTTAAATTTCCAAGTGACATATAATTATTTTAATGTACACTTGGACATGTCAGTATTGTTTTTATGCCGCGTTTGAGACCAGTTGGAACTGGGATATTTGCCAGTTGAAACTTCCGACTTCCCACCTCAAAACGTTCCAGGTGCATGGAGGTGCATGACTCCGAAAGTGAACGAGGTACAGATTTTTTCTCCGAGTTCACAAGTAGGAAACATCTAGTAGCGTTCCAGGATAGTTTTTCTAGTTGGAGGTCGAAAATTTCCCAGTTCCGAGTTGCCTGGAACGCAGCATAAGTCTCATTTCCGACTTCCGATCTCAAAGCGTTCCAGTTGCATGATGGTGCATCACAGTGAAAGTGCACAAAAAATAGGATGACGGTGACAAACTGATGTGTCTTTATCAAGTGTGCAAACAACTGAACCCTCAGTAGTGCACTTAGTGTTAATTAAAATGAGCCGTTATAATGAAAACAAGTGACCTAAATATATGTTACTCATTAACTGTGTAACCGAATAGCTTCACCAGTTAGTAATCCTCAAAAGTCAGTAAATGTTGTCGCCTATATTTACTAATGTTTTCATGGTTTTTTTTGTTATTTTTCTGACTAACTTTTCTGCAGAGGTAACAACTTTCAGATATTGTTAAGTGTAACCAGCTACCTACTAACATTGGCAAAATATATCTACAGGGAAAAAGACACATGTAGTAAAACATACACACATCCAGCACTCAGGGTCCCGAATTCGTGCTGAGTGACAGTGTGCAGCTTACCAACAGCACCGGCCAGACTACGGGAGGTCACTCTGGTGAGAACCACTAAGTTTGTACATTAAATCAAGAGATGTCATTTGGTTTCATTTTTGTAGGCCAACTTTTGTTTCAAGCTGAGGATTTTTTTTTGTGACTATATAATACACTGAACTATATATATATTTAACATTGAATTACAACATAGTTTACATTAAATGATGCCTAAATGAGCAATAATAACTGGCTTTACAGACATATAGATACAAAACTTTTATATGAAGAAAAAAAAACAGGCTATATAAGACACTAAGTCTTTTTTGAAAGTCTGATCTATTTTCACTGCCATGTCATTTCTTTTGTACTGATGTTTTGCTTTTCAATAAAAAGGGCTTTATTCAAAGTTACACAATTTCACCATTGGTGTCTGTAGTTTCATTGACATGGTTATTCAGTTTCATTGACATGGTTATTCACTTTTAATTCACTATTATCACACAGACTAAATGAATTTGGCTCCAAACTGTGAAACTATATAGAAAGCACAAAATCAGCAGTGCAGATATATGACATACTGCTGGTGTGATACATGAGGGTGAGAAGGCAATCCCTAAACGTATTGTAAGAGCCAATTTAAAAAAGTGCGTCAATTACTGTGGCAGCATTTCAAACGTCCAATCCAAAACTTCCAGCAAAAGCTCTGGTTGGAAAAGTACTGTCTCAAACATCAGTAAATCTGCAAGGCTTCAAGCAGACGCAGAAAAAGCTGCACTCTTAGCACGTGCAGCTGCACTTCAAGAAAAACATACTTTGGAGGAGCAAGCGGAGCAACTAAGAAGGAAAAAAGAACAACTTGAAATTGAAAATGAAATAGCAGCATCTTCAGCAAAACTAGCAGTGTTGAACATCTCATGTCACAGCGGTACACATTCGGATGGAATGGATTCCTATAATAAAAGAGGAACAACACTGAATCCTCATCTGAACAATACAACCAGGGTTTTACATGAACTTTTTTTTCCAGAGTTACTAGCCACACAGCATTTTCACTAGCCCAATTTTTGTTTTTGGGAAATTACGTTTTATACGATTTAAAGTTGACAATGGTGTGCTAAAATGTAATAATATTATCATTAGCTCTGATAAGGTTGAGTGTAAAGCTCCTTTTTTGAAAACATGTAGTCTATTAAGATAAACACATAAAAGAGTAGCTTCTTATTATATACAATAAAAATGCTGCATGGGTGTAAAAGTTTAATTAAAAGATAAAAACTAAACTGAAAAAAGAAATTCACCAGAATTGCATCTGCCTTTCCTCAGAGCTCTGACTGGATTTATGTTTATCATCACGAAGCTGTGGTCACTCTGAGCAACTAGAGATACGAAACAAGTTTACAGGTCTTTTCTCCAGATTATTCCCATACAGACCATCTTCTGCTTTCCTTTTATTAAAACATAGTTCTATGTTTTAACAATCAACTCTGGAAATGTAGTTGTGACAGGACGATTTCTGCTAGTAGTAACACGACGTCCCTTAATCATGAATATATCTGTAATCTTACAGCATTTAAGGGCACTTTCCTCCTGCCTTTTCTGTATCTCAGCACTGCCTTTTCTCTTTCTCTCGTTCTGCTGTGCATTTCTTCTCCACACTGGTCGGCCACGCACACTTTATGCACCGACTGACCGCTGTGTTGATGTGTGTGTGATGACAGAGATCATAGCATCAGGTTAAAAGCAGACGGGAGGCTGACGGTCCACAGGTCTGAGGGGCTGTGGCTGCCCTGTGACAGATTCAACTTTTATATTCACTTTGATGTGACGGCCCCTCTGCAGGGTTCATACTGCTGTTGGTGTGCTTTCTGTCTCCAGGGCTGCAGACCTGATTGGCATGGGACACACCTGGGCCCAGTGTGCCCCATGTATATAAGCCAGAGCAGCAGTCAGTCTTGGTTTGGACATCCTTCATCTCACAGCTTCCGTTGTTTGTTTGGTTTCTTGTCTTTGTTTTTACAGCACAACATCCATGCAGCACATTTTCACTCATCCACTCCCTACACTACTGACTTTACAGATCCTTCCCACTCATTGGTTTCGCTTATTTTCTTATTAATAAATCACTTTGTTGTTTAGTTGTTGTAAAGATAAAAATACACAAAATGAATGTGTTGCTTCAGGGACTGCATGTCTTGACTGTGTGCATGGCATTATGAAATCTGAAGACTACTAAGAAAGTCTGGGGTGCAGTGTAGGGCCCAGTGTCAGAAAGCTGGGTCTCTGTCAGAGGTCATGGCTCTTACAGCAGGACAATGACCCAAAGCATACTTCAAGATGCACCCAAAATGGTTTAAGACAAAATCCTGGAGAGTTCTGAAGTGGCCAGCAATTAGTCCACATTATATATATCAGTGCTCTGCCTGTATTTAGTAAACAGTAATAGATTCTTGAATCTCACAAACAGCGAGGATCAGTCTCTCTTCCAATGATTTGTGCTGCACGTACAAAAAGGTCAAGACAATTTAACTTCTGCAATGACGAGAATAACATACAACATACAGTTTATGGGGCTCAGGAGACTGCACGTCCACTAATCACAGATGGTCGGTGATTTTATCCTCAGCTCTATCCAGTCTGTGACTTAATGCACACTACATGTCAACATTCATGCACACATTCATGGCAGATGCTGTCTCGTTTATCCAATGTAGTAGTACAATTCAGCACTGGTTTGGAGTCCCCGGTTGACGTGATTTGGACACTATTGAAAATGATTGCATTTTTCCCCTGAAAAAAGAATAGAAAAATAGTCAGTACTCATCAAATATGGAGAGGTTTGTCTCCCTTGTGAGTATGAGTGTGTCCCTGCTATGGCGACTTGTCCAAGGTGTACCCTGCCTTTTGCCCAATGTAAGCTGGGATAGGCTCCAGCCCCCCTCCTGTAGCAGGATAAGCGGTTGACGATGGATGTTTGGTTTGGACAAGTGGGTCACATGAAAAGGAAGCTATTGAAAAACAATGCAAATTTTTCCAGTAAAAATTTGAAGATGGTTATAGATCAAACCCACTTCTCGCACTGGAGCGTCCCTTTTAAACATGTATGTGTGGGACACAGGGCCTGTCTCATTTCCCAAATTTCCACCTCCTCGCGGCGCGTGTTACTCCCTCCCACCCCAGATGCGAGCGAGGAGTTGAGGAGGCAGAAATTTGGGATATGAGAAAGGCCCACAGAAAAGTCTGAATAATGAGGTAGTTCGTTAACAGTGATCCAGAATATCAACTTTCACCCAGAAGACCAGTGTTCGTTTCAGGTGTTAAACAAAAAGTCAACGATGACTGTGTCAGAAATCCCCACTCATCCACTCCCATACCCTCTATGTAGGGATTAGAGCACTTGATAGTGAGCTCAGTCTCATTATTAAAACACCACTTTTGGACACTACACCGATCTTATTTCGGCGCCGTTAATTATGTCATTGCCGTCGGATAATAAGTTTTTTCTATCAGCGCAATGCATGATGGTATGTAGGGCTTGGCTTGTGACCATCGGTTGTACATGTACACTACTTGTTGGCGCACATTTAAGTTGTTTTGCACGCGTGTTTCAGGCGTGCTGTTTCCTTTGGCTTAAAATAATAAAATAAAATAATAAACTTTCAAAAGTCTGAACTTAACGTCGGATATGCCAATCCATTTATTAACATAACAAAAAATAAAACATTTATTCAATAATAACTTAACTCAAGTCAGTCTCCATAATTACACGCCGTGCCTCACGGTCAAAAACCATGCACCTCGCAGTGCGCCACACCTGCACTAATTACCAAATGTCTTAAGTAGACTTGTGGCTGCACACAGCGCCAACCCATGGCTATACACAGAATGGCTCCAACACAACCGGCCCCTAATTGTTCATGGCAATACAAGACATAACAATTATAAACATATACACGTATGGAGACATAAATGCAACAAAAACATCTTACAATAAAAACAACAAACAAATAAACGAACAAATAAACCCCTATTTGGTGTGTTTGTTCACTTTTACATTGACTGTTCTACCAATAGGCCTAATTTTGTCACTGGTCTCTCAATTATGTTTGTTTTGGTTTTGATTTGCACAGATCTAACTATGCCCGATTTGTCCGGAAAAGATTTAATAATTCTTCCAATCATCCAAGAATTTCGTGGTGCAGTAGCATCCGCAACCAAAACGATATCTCCTACTGTAAGATTACGTTTTGTTTTGTTCCACTTTTGTCTCTCCTGTAGAGTAACGAGATACTCTTTTGTCCACCTTTTCCAGAATAAATCTGAAAGATACTGAGCCTGTTTCCATCTTCGTCTTACGTACTGGTCTCTTTGATCAAACAGGCCTGGAGGCAAAATTGGTTTCCTTTTCAAAGTAAGATGATTAGGTGTCAGGGGTTCTAAATCATTAGGATCCTCAGAAACTCTCGTAATTGGTCGGTCATTCAAGATTGCTTCGGCTTCGCATAAGACTGTGACTAAGGTTTCATCAGATAAAGTCTGTAGATGTAAAACAGATACCAAGACCTTTCTGACCAGTCTGATCATGCTTTCCCAAGCACCACCATGATGTGAAGCTGTAGGTGGGTTGAACGTCCATTTGATGTTGTCATGAATTAAAGCTTTCTCAATTGATTTGTTGTTTAACTCTGCAATTGCTCTTTTTAGCTCCTTCTCTGCTCCTGTGAAATTTGTGCCATTGTCTGAGCGAAAGTGTGCTACGGGTCCTCTTCGGCATATGAATCGACGAATAGCACTGATGCAAGAGTCCGTGTCTAATGAGTGCGCCACTTCTAAATGAACTGCCCTGCTGGCCATGCATGTAAAGATAACTCCATAACGTTTCTTTCCATTTTCCTTCTTAATCCAGTGAGGCGCTGTTGAGCAATACAACAATTGTTTGGCAGTGTCACTTTCTGAGCTTTGAATGGCAATTTTAAACTGTAATGTCCGTCTTTTAAGTTTACAGATTGGTCCATTATTTCAATGAATCTTGCCTCCTGTCTTGACATTTCTTCTCTGTTGTCGGCGATTTTTTCATTGAAGTCACTTTGGTACTGCTTCTCCAATAGCAGCTGAAGTGATTCCACAGATAATCGGTTAACAGCAACACTATGACCACCATTGTCATTCATGTCTTTGCAATCCTTTCCGAAGCCATTGACCACCCACCCCAATAGAGTTTTAACAGCAAAAGGACCCTCACCTTGACTATTCACAATTTCCCATGGTTCCAGCAACTTTGAAGCATTAGTCCCTATTAATAACTCCACATTAGCATCAATTTCAGGGATTTCAATGTGCTCAATGTAAGGCCACTGTGTAAGGTCCTCTTGTTTGATGATGTTTGCTGTATTCACTGGCCTCGATTTCTGTGTGTAAACATTTGGAAGACTGTAGTACCTTTTACCATTAAGGCTAGCTATTTCAAGTCCATTCACAATGTATGTTGACACTGATGTCTTTGGGCTCATCGTTAACAAACATATTTTTGACTTTGTCCCAGTGAGATTAAGCCTACGCATAAGAGCTTCAGAGCAGAATGTGGATGTTGAGCCATTGTCCAGAAAAGCATAGGTCTGAATCACCTTGTTGCCTTTTTGTGCTTTTACCTGAACTGGCAGGATGGAGAGCATTCCATTGCAACTGGCCCCGGTCTGGCTCCCAAATGTCTGAGCTGACACAAGCGTATGGTTTACAGCTGGTTTAGTTTCACTGGGGTTCATTGATTTGTCCAATTGTTTGACATGAATGTGTAAAGCTGTTGGATGGCTCTGTTTGCACTTTGCACAGATTTTGCGTTTATCACAATTTTTGCTCAAATGCCCAGTGTTGAGACAACCAAAGCACACTCCTTTTTCCTTTAAGAAGTTGATCTTTTCATGATGTTTGTTATTGGCAAATCGTTGACATTCATCCAGACTGTGATTTTGTAAACAGAATAAACAATTGATGCTGATGTTGCTGTCCCTATGCTTACCTTCCTGTGTGTCCTTGTGTTGTACTTTGCGAACAGCGTAGACGTTTGTAGCAAAGTTGTCTCGCTTCAACTTAGACTTTGCTGTATACTCATCCCTTTTAACATGTACTCTTTCAGTACTTTGAATATCACCAAAAATAGGATCAGACAAGATTTTGACTTGATATTCCACAAAGTGTACAACGTCATTAAAGTTTGGTCTGCGGTTGTGTCTCTCTTGAATATCACATGCAGAATTTCTAAATTTTTCCCTCAATTTAAAAGGAAGTTTCGAAACAACAATTTTGAGGTTAGCAGACATGTCCAATTCTCTCATATCCCTTAAATCTGACATTGCATTATTGCAGCCACGTAAAAATAATGCATAGTCCTGTAGTAATGAAACATTTTCAGCCTTCACCACAGGCCAGTTGAGAACCTTTTCCATATAAGCTGCTGTGATCTTGGTTTCATTACCAAAGTGTTCCTGTAGGAGGGCTTTAGCGGTTTCAAATCCTCTCTCCGCACTCATATGTAAACAGCTTTGTACAAGGTCGTGTGGGCGCCCTCTGGTGTACCTTTCCAAGAAATACATGCAATCTCCTTTAGATGCAGCTTTCTCTTCCACACAGTGCTTAAAAGCTTGCATGAACGTTTTGAACTTCAGTGGGTCACCCTCAAAAACAGGCATTTGTCTTGGTGGCAGTTGGCTTGCTCTGTGTTGTTGAATGAGCAGCTCGGATATTTCATTTTGCTTTTGCAGAATTTGTCGTGTAGAATTGTCATCAACTGCATGTATAACATTTTCAGCGGGTCTTGCAACTGCAACAGGTAAGCCTTTATTTTTCCTCAATCTTGTAGACTTCTCAAACCTTGCTTCAGGAATGTCAGGTATTTCTTTCGATCGTTGTTTCTCAAAATAAGATCCCATTTTATCCTGATCTGAAAATGCTTGCAGTACTGCCAACTCCGCATCCAAGGCTTCAATCTCAGCATCCATTTCCACTTGTTACATTCTTTTGCGTAATGACTCCACCTCCTTCTCCATTTCATGTTTCTTTTTTAGCGCTGCTGCGCGTGCCAGAAGTGCAGCTTTCTTGGCTTCTGCTTGTGCAACTTCAAATGCAACCTTGCTTGATCGACTTGATCTTTCACTGGTGCGGCTGTTAATGCATGATGATGTTCCAACATTTGATACACTGTCCGTTGGCTTTATTTCATCCTCAAGGTGAACCTCTTCTGCAGTACCATTATTTGTACTCTTAAAATGATTTTCCACACACTGGCAAAATCCATGCAGACTTAAAAGCTTTGCTTTGAACCAGGTCTCATGCTTCTCTTTTTCCTCTACGGGTAACAACTCAAGCAGATTATTATGTGCAACTTTTGCGTCATTAATCAAAGCTTGATATTTGCTGAAGCTGCCTTTTATTTCAGCTTCATAACCAGACTCACACATTAAACCTTGAACAGTTTTTTTTAGATTGGCGGCTTTACTTAATTTGGATTTTCTTAGTGTCTCCAAGTCATTTAGTTTAGAAAGCAATGCTTTTGCTGTAGGTTTTATAGATCTTTTTTTTAAAGAGGCTTCTTCTTTATCATTTTGAGAGTCAGCCGACACCACATGTGTTACCTCGATACCTTGATCATTTTCATCCATTTTACATCACTTTTAACCAAGAAAAAGCAGACAAGAAAAACATTTCATTTAAATATGAAAATGAGAAATCAGAAATAAAGTATAAACACTTTACTTTTCTTGTGTAAACCCCTCGACCCAAATGTCTTATTTCAAGTCCTCGTTTACTTTAACCAAATGTCAATATTTTGTGTTCTCCTTTTATTCTTGCTGTTTATACTTTAATAACTGCAGCTCTTAATGCATACATCTTTTTATGTGTGTGTGCTAACTGCCGTTACCTCCTTTGTCCGAGTATCTGCATCAAAGTGCCCCTTCTTCACTGTCCAATGTGAGGCCCGCTCCGCCCATGGGCCTACTGCATCTGATGCGCCAGCGTTTTCCATTCAGCCGATCACCGTGACAGTGCACGAACAGCATAAGGACCGTGTCGTTTCAACTTGATCAGTCTTTTGCTCATACAGAGTTGGTTTTTGACTAATTGTTGGCACACATTTAAGTTGTTTTGCACGCGTGTTTCAGGCGTGCTGTTTCCTTTGGCTTAAAATAATAAAATAAAATAAAATAATAAACTTTAAAAAGTCTGAACTTAACGTCGGATATGCCAATCCATTTATTAACATAACAAAAAATAAAACATTTATTCAATAATAACTTAACTCAAGTCAGTCTCCATAATTAGTCTGTCAGTAGACTTGTGGCTGCACACAGCGCCAACCCATGGCTATACACAGAATGGCTCCAACACTACTTTTCAAAATGCATTCTGGGATACATATAGTGAACTCTATAGGGTAAATTAATCATCACTATACATCCTGACAGCACGACCAAATGGCGAGCTCACTATAGGCTATAGTCCACTAAATATAGTGAGTAGTGGGTGATTTCGGACACAGCCAGTGTATCTTTTTATTACGACGCTGAAGTTAACTTCCGCTTCGGAAGTTAAGGGGAAAGTTAAGGGGAACTTAAGTGAAAGTTAACTTGCGTTGCTGAGCGACCGAATCTCCGTTTTTTGCGCCACTTACTGTTGTGAAAGCTGTTATGTATTTTAGGCAAAGCCTTAATGCTGTCTGAAACACTTATTTAGACATATTTTATTTGTGAAAATGAAAAAAGGGCAATTTCACTGCTTTTTCTCCACATGCAGACCACATTAGACCAGGTCCAGATCCAAAACCACTAGATCTCAAATCTGGACTAGATTGTCCCACAGAGGTTAAAGTTTCAATCAAACATAGTTTCAAAAATGTTTTGCGGCAATTAAACAAGTTACTGCTGTGTGTGCAAGTCAGTTCAAATTTCAGGATTACCAGTGGTATATACACGATTATAAATGTTGTGTAATTGCTTTCAAACAACTAGGCTAGAATATATTCCCTTTGTGTTTGGTCTGTTCAGGGAAGTGTCAACTATTTAAACTAAATTATGTTACAAATCCTGTCTTACAGTGAAATAGTCCATTGACCTCACAGAATCTTCTGGAGTCCCAAATATCCTACAGTTTGTCTGTTGAATTTCCAACTAAAAAATAAATTTACTTCAGTTAGGGAGGGATTTTTATTTGTCCATGTTGGTACCGTAAAATGTGCCACTGATAGAAGAACTCATTAGGAAGTAGAAGCCAAGACAACTAACTTAGCCTTAGTGAGGAATTACTTTGGTGAAAGGTCCAAGTTCATATATATTTGTTATGTAAAAGGTATATTTAGTATTTATAATAATAACAACATTATTATTATTATTATTATTATTATTATTACCACCATGGCATTTTGTTCATATATACTATCACTAAGAAAATCACAAAAAAACGCGTATGTATCTTTCAGGACCCTCTCTTGCCCAGTGTTAGTATGTGACAAGTTGGAGATCAAGAGCCACCTCCCAAGTGGGCTAATCGCCCTTATACTGTCCACACTGGGTGAAACCATGCGTGAAACTGAGTAAGAAGAAAACACTGGATCATGTTTCTGTCTGTCTAATATTCAACTTAAAACTAACTTCACCGCGTTTTAATACCAGGGCTGTCGAAACACTGTCGGGGGAAAAATAACGCAGTCCACTCAAATGAGCAGTCAGCACAGCTGAACCAGCTCAGTCTTATAGCAACGAATCTTTATCAAAAGAAGATGAAAAGGTTGTTTTTGTTGCTTCTCTTCTGTCACGTTTCACCAGCAGGTAAGATCACAGTCATGGACACGCTCGTAGTTCAGTTTCGCTTTTAGCTTGATGCCTGATGGTGTGATTTAACAGAATAATACTGAATACATCTTTTTGTAAACTGAATGTTTAACCTTGTTTGTCCTACAGTGAAACACTCCCTGAAGTATTTCGTAGCTGCATTTTCTGGAGTCTCAGACTTCCCAGAGTTCATGGGAGCTGCAGTGTTTGATGGTATTCTGCTGGCTTACTGCGACAGCAACACCAGGGACATAGAAGCAAAACAGGACTGGGTGAAAAACATTTTACAAAATGATCCTCAGCAGTTACTGTATTACACTCATGAGTGTTTTGAGTATCTGCCAAATGTCTTCAAACCGAGGATATTTTTTTTTAAGCAGCACTTCAACCAAAGTGGAGGTAAAGAATTTATGTTTGTTATATTTTACATTTTATTGTTAAAATGTTTTGCTTTTTGGTTTGATGTTTGTCAAACAGTTGTAGCATCTGTTGTGTAGGCTACCTAACTTAATACTGAATTAGCTGGTACACTCTGAATTTAATCACCACATGGAGCTTCTGCCTTTACTTGCTTTATTGTCTGAACACCCTTATTACAACAGCGTCTTCCGCTATCTCCCCGTTACTTCTTCTTTTTTTTTTACTAGACACATGACATCTCTAAACCACTACATGACATCCCTCCTTTTCTTGGAAATAAACGCTGTATTGTATCATACACAAGTGGTTATTAACTTTTTGTTTTCCTTTCTATAACACCGATTATCTTTGGCTTAACAACTGCCTTACCACTTGTCTCGACAACCGTATTGGAGATTCGACCACAACTTTATGTGGTGGTGCTTTGAATGGTGTGGTGAACTTGTCCACTTTGTCTTGCTGTATAAGTACAGTGTCTCCCACGTCCACCTTTGAGTACTGAGCTCCCCTGCGTTCATCAGCATATAATCTTGCTTTTCCTTCTGTGGAAAAGTCTGTCACGCACCTCCAGTGCCGTTGTGCTATGTCCACATATATCTGGCAACTTTCCCCTCAATTTTCGATTAAAGAACAGCTCAGCAGGGCTTTTACCTGTGGTGGCATGTTCGATGCCTCTGTACACAGTCACATACTTTCTTAGTTCACATTTCCAGTCCAGTCCTCCTGCTTGGGCGAACTTTATTCTTTTCATCAGCGATTGGCGCTTGAGTCCATTTCGGTGTCGTCTTCTTCGTCTCCATATGTTTGAGTCCATTATTTTCACAGTATTCTCTGAACAAGTCAGATCTGAACTGCGGTCCGTTGTCTGATTTGCAGGTGACTGGTAGTCCATGTCTGCTGAAGATTGACTCCAGACTGTCAATGACATTTTCTGTAGAACATCATACTCATAATAGCGACTGTAATAATCTACCACTACCAGTATGTAGTGATTGGTCGGCAGTGGTCCTAGCAAATCTATGGCGAGATCCTGCCAGGGACTATCAGGTAGTGGTGTGGTTCTCGGTGGTTCTGGTGAGTCAGATCTGGCTACAATTTGACAGCCATGACACGCCTTACAAAATTTCTCAGCTGCTTTATCCATGCCAGGCCACCAAACCTTGGTTCTGAGGTGTTGTTTGGTTCCCAGTATTCCTAAGTGTCCTTCATGAGTTAGTACAAGTGCTCGTGCTTGTAGATTTTGTGGCAGCACTATGCGATTTCCTCGGAGGACTATGTATCCCACTACACACAGTTAATTTGCTATTGGTGCGAATGATTTACAGTTCTCAAAGTGTCCATTTGTGACAGCCTTGCATACCTCCACCAGTATCAGGTCAGTAGCAGAGGCCTCCTCCACCTCTCGGGTAGTTAGTGCTTTGGGTGTAGCACTCATGGCTACAAGCCTCACATATTCTTCCGATTCATGTTTGTGTACCTCTTGTGTATTTACTAGCAGCCGTGACAGCGGGTCCGCTATGTTCTGTTTGCCACCTTCAGTACCCCCAGCTTCATGGCTGTCTTCTGTTCCAGGAGTGGTTCACCATTTCCTTTAATCACGATGAACTCTGCCTGATCAGTCCTGTCACCAATTTTGATTTGACACTTGAATGCCCCCTTAACAGGCAGTGACTGACTGGATGAGTATGGGTACAAATTTCTCTGTTCTTTTGGCACATATGAATAACACTATCTTTTGTGCCTTCAGCCTGTCCCAACATTTTCTCCCATCACATTACTTGTAGCACCTGAATCTACTAACATTTTCAAGTCTACTCCCCCCACACAAAAGGTAAGTCTCTCTTCTTTTGCAATAAATGCAAACTCTTTTTGGTTTACTTCAACGCTGTTCACATTTTGTTTCTTTGGTCCTTTTGTGCGGCACATTTTTGAGAAGTGGTCTTTTCCATTACACTTGCGCCGTCTGCCTAAGACGTGTAGAAAATTGTTGCACAGTCTCACCTTGTTTCTGACACAACTTGTGAAACGTCTGGTGGGCAAACGCAGTGTTGACTCTGGGAACGAAGTATGTGTTCAGTGCCCCCACTTCTCCAGTGTCCGGTCAAGTTGAAAATATATCCTGAACATCTGGTCCAGCAAGGTGCAAAAGTAGAGCTCGTCTCCTCTGTTTTGTGACATCTGCTGTATCATCACTTATAATCAGTCCTTTTCCATCTGCATATAACTCAAACGACGTCAGCCACCGCGCCCATCTTGGTCCGAGCGTAGCTGGGTCTGTGTAGCATGCAAACTTTTCCATGCTAACGTTAGCTAAAACTCACGTTCCTTTTGCTGAGTCTTTTTTTTCTTTTATCTTTCACCTAACTTAATACTGAATTAGCTGGTACATTCTCAATTCAATCACCACATGGAGCTTCTATCTTTACTTGCTTTATTGTCTGAACACCCGTTATTACAACAACGTCTTCCCGCTATCTCCCCCCGTTATTTCCTGCTTTTTTACTAGACTATTGTGAACATGTACTTGTGTTAACGTATAAACATTACAGCCAAATGCTATAGGCGTATTTAGAGCTGGGACTGTAAGTGAGGCTGCAGGTGTCACATGGGTTTAACTCTGTGTATATCATTTTGAGGTGCACAGAATGTAAGAAGACATATCCACATTGTATAGTGCAATTGGCAGCCATCCATCAATTCACAGAGCAATAGCTACCAACTTTTAAAGAGTGACATAGACATTGATAGAAAGACAGATGGAGATGTTATCTGTGCATCATGTTAATCACAGTCTCTGTTTCTGTCTCTGTCTCAGGTGTCCATGTTTTACAGTGGATGAGTGGCTGTGAGTGGGATGAGGAGACAGGGGAGGTTAATGGTTTTAGTCAGTATGGTTATGATGGAGAGGACTTCATGGCATTTGACCTGAAGACATCGACATGGATCACTTTGAAACCAAACGCTGTCACCATCAAAGAGAGATGGAATGCTGACAAACCTAGAGCAAAAAATAATGAGGTTTACCTCACTCAGATTTGTCCTGAGTGGCTGAAGAAGTATTTGGACTATGGAAACAGCTCTCTGCAGAGAACAGGTAGAATCACATGACCTGATTTGGTTTCATGGACACAACAATATTCATATCCCTGCTCAGACTGACTTGCCGTTGTATTATCACTCTGATCAATCTGACACTACCTTATTTTGGTGTCAATAATCAATCAATCAACATTTATTTATATAGCACTTTACAGCAACCAATAGGTGTCCAAAGTGCTTTACATCAACCAAGAATAAACAACACAGCATTCAATAAAAGACAAGACAAAACATGTGAAGCATAGAAAACAGTAAGCCAGATAAGGTTGCCTAAAATCATCAGAAGAAGAGGGAGGTTGTTGGACCACTACTGCGTATTTAAAGCCATTCTAAATAAATAAGTTTTGATTTAAAATGAACAACATCCGTTATAGTGCGAATGTCAGGGGGGAGCTTGTTCCAGACTTTTGGGCCAGCAACAGCGAAGGCCTGATCTGTTTGTACCACTGTTTGTACCTGGACCTCGGGACTTCTAAAGTCCCTAGATCTGAAGACCGCAACAGCCGATTTTCTCAAAGCTGAGACTGTGAGTGTTAGTGCACAGTTAGTATAAGTAAGTTTATACAGATTAAGTTTTTCACTGTTTCACTGAACAGTGAATTCAATTAAAACATTGAAACTGATTGACTACTTTGCTGTGAACCGTAAAAAAACAGGCAGATCCTTCTTCTCTGACTGCAGTGAGTTTCTTTAGTGGTGGTGTCGCTACCTTCTCTGTCTCTATACAATGTGGAAGTTGTATAACAAATGCGTTGTTATGTAGTTCTGTCTTATGCTGTTGATCATGAGACGGCTGTACTGGCCTGTACATGAAGAGCATTTACCTGAAAGAAAATGGATCTGCTGTGTCTTGAGTTCACTTTAAGGAACCCTGGAGATTTTGATCACTATTGGCGCCAAAGAGTTTTTGTTTTTACATGCAGATGCATGTTTGTCTGGATCTTTTGGTAAGATTTGCATCATAGTCCATATTATTAGTCAACATTATTGTTGTAATGTTCACTTTTTCATTTATTTTGCTCAAACCTTCAGTTATTGATTCCCTATTTTATTTTTTAACATGCTTTTACTTTCTTTCCTTTCCTGTTCACCCTTTCTTGTCTCTCTCTCTCTCTCTCTCTCTCTCTCTCTCTCTCTCCCCACCAGAGCTTCCCTCAGTGTCTCTCCTCCAGAAGACTCCCTCCTCTCCAGTCAGCTGCCACGCTACAGGTTTCTACCCTGACAGAGCCCTGATGTTCTGGAGGAAAGATGGAGAGGAGCTTCATGAGGACGTGGACCACGGAGAGATCCTCCCCAACAACGATGGATCCTTCCAGATGAGTGTTGACTTGAATCTTTCATCCGTCACACCTGAAGACTGGAGGAGGTACGACTGTGTGTTTCATCTCTCTGGTGTGAAGGACGACATCGTCACCAAACTGGACAAAGCAAAGATCAAAACCAACTGGGGCAAAACTCTGTTTAGTAATGACAATGGTGAGCAACACTAATTTATTTGTTTATTTATTTGTTTTTGCTGAATGGTCTCATTTTTTCTAGTCAGTTTCACTTTTACCACCTGTTAAAATAGTTAAAAAACCTAGAAAACAATTTTTTTTTTTCCCTTCAGGATTGCTGGTCAGATCATGTGACCCTACCAGCGTTATCAAATAATTTTTAATTACAAATGTTCCAATTATGTAGTTATACCACAGAAAGTTTAATATCTTAAGCTGATGATACGCCGGGCAACTTTTTGATCAACGCTAGTGGGCAATGCAGCTGTCAATGGGCAACCAGGTGAGACACAGGGCAACTGATTAGGGCAACGGACAGCTGGCAACAACCAATCAGAGGCGCAAAACTATTGCCAGGGAGACGGACACTGCATATCTTGGCTTCAATATTTCTTTTACTTAAGTATCATGAAGATATTCTGGTTAATTTGCCATAGTTATTACATTCATGCATTCCATCTTTTTTATGTGTCAGCCTTAAAAATGCTAGAAGTCTATTGGGCTCTACAATAAATACAAATTTAGTCGCATATGACCCTAAAAATAGATACCTGCGAACCGGTAAAATGATTTATGAACAGTGTGGGAGTAAAGATAACTAGCGTAATTCCCAGCCCCACCGCTATCCGTTCAAAACATAGTCAAACTTTGCAGCTCGTTATTGAAAACAAGAGGGATCGGTGTTTTCAAACATACATACGACAACTTATTGGCGTAAAAAGATGTAAGTTGACGCTCCTCCTTTTCTTCACTTCATTGCTGCTGAAATGCCGCCATCTTGATTGATTTTTTTCCTGAAATCTCCAAGTCTGTCACGTGATCAGATGCTAGCATTCTGATTGGAGGATCTCAAAAATTGCCCAAGACGTTCTAAAGTATTCAGATAGAAATGTGTTGCCCATTCTCTCTGGGAAAGTGCCTGAGAAATATTGCTCGGCAGCATTGCTCAAAAAGTTGCACCATGTGTGTCATCAGCTTTACAAGGACATTTCAGCAACGTAGAACTACACTTTCATAAAGCTGGCTGACTTGTGAGAGACACAGCAGCAAAAGTTTTATTTTACCTTTTACTAGTCTGTCGTCACCTAGTCAATGCTCACTTCTTTAAACTCCACTTACCAAGTTAATAACGTGGCCTCTATGCTAAAAAGTTGTAATCTCCCCTGATAACATCATCAGGGTGATTTCTTTCAGAATAATTCTCTCTGAGTTTAATAAACTGCACTTGAGTTGTCAAGTCACTGCTCGTTAATCAAGGCAATGTTGAGCCAAACGCAGGCAGTCCAGGATGATTCACTGATAAGGTAGCTTACAGGCAGGCAGGTAGGTACAGGTCCTTGTAACATAACAGAAAATAAATTTACAGCTCAAAGAAAACACTATCTGTGTCTTTCTTAACAATTTAGACAGCATTCTTTGTAAAGCTAAGGTGGTTTTTAATCACAGTTTCAAAATATTTAAAGCTACTGATGGTTTCTACAGTGATTGTCAAAGTTTTTTCAGGTGCCATTTAAATCCTGTATATTTCTGCACACACATCAAGCTACTGATACCAAACAATATATTTTTTTGTATTCACCACCTGTATGTGTGATGAACATCTTCACATGTTGTGATCACATTATGTTTGCTCTCAGATGGGTCCAGCAACATCACCATACCGATTACTGCTGCAGTGGTTGTTCTCACTGTCGTTCTCATCGCTGTTATTGGATTTACTGTTTACAAAAAGAAGAGAGGTGAGAGACTCAAAGGAGCTGAGTTCATGTTCTTATTCAGACTGCAAAATTTAAGCAACATTTAATAGTAAACAAACATCTGAAGCAACCAACAGTAAGACAGAGTAACCTATCATATAAACATACAGTATAATACACACAATATAAAGAGATCTAAAAAGAAAAGTAAAGGTCATTTATGTATCACTTTAATTCACATGAGACAAAATTATAATAAAATATATTCTGACATGTTAAACTGCGGCAAGTAAAATATTTCTTTATTCTTATTTCAGCAAATCGACCTCCAACTCGTAAGTAGAATCTTGTTTTTATTCTGTTGGTGTGACATTCACTCTGTAGATTAAAAAGGGCTTTCAGTGAGAGATAGTTCAGAGCAGGAAAAGAGGACTAACAGTGTGTTTCTGACCTTACAGCTTCTGTCAACAGCTCTGAGCTCTCTGAGAGACTGAATGATTGAGAAACACACCAACCAGCACCATAGACTGTATTAAAGCCCTGCACGCAGTGACGTCATGTGAAAAGGCAAAACAGTAAATACTGCACTGTGTTAAATATTCACACCTCTAGTCAGAGTACTGACATTAGCACTAACCGAATGCAGGTAAATACTGTTAGCAGACAGAGAAAATGCACTACAGAAAGACACATGTAACACACACACCGAGCACTCAGCTCAGGGAATATCAGTGGTGGAGTTTCAAACCAAACTCACCAGTGGAAGAGGCCCAGTTCGTACTGATTAAGAGTCGGTGCGCTGTTTATCAACAGCACCAGCCAGTCAGTACAAAAGTTGGTAGTCCAACTTTGGTATTGACGCTGAGAGTTATATTTGTTTGTTTGCTGAGTTACAGAAGAGGAGGATTTTGTTGAGATATGGCATCTTGCGGAGATTTGAACTGAGAAAATGACTAATTCATTAGTGCTTGAACTGTGTGTTTTGTATTAAACACTGACTGTGTAATACACTGTGACGTAATGTTTTTGTGTAGCCTAAATATATTGAACACTGAAATACAACATAATTAACATTAAATGATACTTAAATGAACTGTTTGTTCTGCATTTAGAGCATGGTCTATATTTCAAAAAGTGGCAGATACAATCTCTGAATGGCAGAATAAAACCTGAATGTGAATTTCAGACCCCTGCCTCCAGTTAAACAAGCTTCCTTAAGATAAAAGCAAAGAAACATTCTGAGATTGTTTTGACATCCACCATAAAACATCTGTCACATTACAGATGTAAAGGAAATATCTACAAACAGATGGCTTACTGTGAGCAACGATACCTAGCTTTACATGTAGGCCTAGATACAAAACTTATATTTGGAAAAAGGCTGAATGGGGTGGGGATGGGGCAGTGGATAAGGCGCATGCCTTTGGCTTGAGAAAGTGGGGTTCAATTTCCTGCTAACACATCCACCAATGTGTCTCTGAGCAAGACACTTAAACCCTAGTTGCTCCAGAGGTGTGCGACCTCTGACATACATAGCAACTGTAAGTCACTTTGGATGAAAGCATCAGCTAAATGTGAATATGACTAGAACTCTGTTTTTTGAAAGCTTGATTTATTTGCACTGCCTGTCAATCCTTTTGTACTGATGTTCTTCTTTTTCAATAAAAAGGGTTTTATGTAAAGTCACACAAGTTCACCATCTGTGTCTCTAGTTTCATTGACATGAATATTGCACTTTTATTCACTATTATCACTCAAAATAGGCTATATGATGTAGGCCTACTGTGAGACATGAAGGTGGAGGCAAACCCTAAAAGTATATCGTTAAAAGAAAGCACTAGTACTTTCTACTTTTGTTAATGGTATAATTTAGTCTGTCAAGATTTATTAACATATAACATGACTTTGTTTCTTGAGCCATAAGTAGTAAAAGCAACATAGAGCTGAAAGAAGAGAGCAGTTTTACATCTCTCTCTCCTAAAGGAGCAATTTGGAACACAACACGTTCAGATTTAATACACATGGAGAACAGAGCTGAGCAGCAGTCTGCAGCAGTGAAGGTGGGGAACGCTCACGGGGACACGGCAGGGCTGCTCAGCGAGAGCAGGGTACTCACGCAGGGACAGGGGCTTATATCTTTCCAAGGCACTCCCTTGTGTCCCCAGCAACACACCCGCTACGTTTGGAGTCAATTGGTTAACAGTTTCTGACAAAATCGAAATAGGCTACAAACAGACAAACACACAGATTTTTTCTTTATTACAGAGATTGAAATAGGAGATTCAGATTGTATTTGTGTGGGTGGTTCTGCAGAAATACAACATAAATAAATAATAAAGTTTAGGACATACATACATCCCAGAATATTTCCCATTCTGTATCCTACAAGGGTTTCCTCAGGTTACAGTATTCTTAAGATAAAAACAGTAGGTTAATAACTTATAATCAAAGGTTTACACCTTTACAAATGCTACCATAATAAAGAAACACCAATAATATTAAGAACACTAGTCGACAGTAAGATATGGCCACTTGTAAAACCAGAGAAATAACATACACATCACCAGCTCTCCTGTTAAAACACAGACAGTACCACCTAGTGGTGAAACAAGGGGCATTAAATATCACGGCTACATAAAAGTCTACCATCCAAATAATGTTAATATCCAATAAATAGTGAGTCTAACAAACTGAGCTAACTAGCAAAGGTAAATACTTTCAAACTAGTAACATTTATCTCCACACAGCCACATGGGTTGGCAAGCAGAAAAGCAAAAATACAAAATACAACATCTGAACATGAAATTAAATATCAGGACGGTATTACAAGGGCATTCCTTCACCACGGGTGCATGAAAGTGACAACTATTCAGCTACTTAAACATGAAACGTGAACACAGATAAGTGCACACTGGATTAATTGGGCTGCACTGTGTGTAGTGTGTCAGTCAGGTTTGCATGCACGTGTTTTTGGGAGACCATTTACAGTCAGAAGACCCACTGTAGGCCTACACTGCAGCGGTGATGTCGCTAAAGCTTATTATAGGACTGCTGCTTATTATTATTATCTTTTAAACAATTGGAGAGGGATATTCACTGTTTCACGTTAGCCCGTTACTTAAATTCTTACATTATTATTTGGTATCAGGTGGAAATGGTCTTATACTTTACGTCTCAAAATGATCATTTTTCTAAATAAGTAAAGTAAGTAAATCATCATATTTCTTATTTTCCTCTCTTCTGTCAAACAGAATGAAACTCTTTCTAAAGCATCAGTCACGTTTGACGCTTTGGGCATCATTAGTCACATGGTTTTCTTCATCTGAAATGACCTCTGACCTACCCGACTGTATGCTATGGGCTCTGATAGCCTACAATATTTGGTTTGTCAAATCAGAAACACTCCCACCTTCCTCTGTGAGGAAAAATAGTTGAATACAAGTCGAAAACAGCTGAATCAGCTGTTTACCCACACGTCTTTATCAAACAAGAAGAAAAAGTATTTTGTTACTTTTCTTTTGTCACGTTTCATCAGCAGGTAAGATCAAATTTTAATGATTTACTTCAAGAACATGGTATCAATATGTTCATAATCACATATTGATACCATGTTCTTTTGTTTGGTGAAACAGGACAGGGACATCATTTATGAAATGTTCCTCATACCACGGGGGGTGCTAATTAGTGTCTAATGGCAAGACTAGTTGAATCAGATAGGCAGTGGTGGTTCATTCCTATGAAGTTGCCTATTAAGCCAGTTGGAACCGCCTGAGAGATGAATATATGCTTGTTGCTTGCTAAAGTAAGCTTAAAATTACATAAGGTCAGGTTTAGAGAACAGTGTCGCCTATCAGAGGGCCAACTGCAGGACCTGCTGAAAGGTCAAAACAAAGATGGCTCACCCAACTTTAGGCACATTTTACTGTGTTTTGATGAACATAAATTAATGTCAAATTGAAATGTATTGTTTATTTGGTGATGGTGTTTCACTTTTCAATAAAGATAAAAAAGAAAAAAAAGAATTCATATACTCGTCTGTGACTATAGCTGCAGGAAAATGAATAGTACATGAGTGTTCAGAAGTCTCACAGAGGACGCTTCATCTCTGAGGAGCTCACAGGAAAAATTTAGAAGAGGAGGGAAACAAAAGATGAAGTTGAAAACTGAGCAACTAAGAGTTAAATACATGTTAACACATACCCTCTTCACAGCAGTTGTTTGGGGTAGAAATTATCACACATGAAATGAACTGGCAACATACAACAATAAAATTAATTACCTTTATCAAGAGATTACAAAAATAAAATATTAAATGTTAGCACTTTTACTATATAAAACTCTTCTACATAATTTACATAAACCCTTTCTGTGCGGTCCATGACAAAAACCCTTCTTTGTTCAGTAATAATGCAGATAAGATCAGTCAGAAAAGTGTCACTTTATTTAAAAACATTTCAAACAGTCTAACTTCAGTCGAAGTCAGATAATAACTTAACCCACTATCAAAACTTTCAACACAATCTCCACCTCTGATCTATGAGGCACAAGTAAAAGTAAACTAAAAATAAAAGCAGGTTAAACAGGTTTTAATTAAAGTTGAATAATAACTTCTTATTGGTCAAAGTTTCTATCCACCTATGTGAAGTTATTAAGTCGTGAACACGCCTCATTACATGTCAGTAAACCCGATTGACGCCGTCCTCTCAGGTCTCTGTACCGCCTGTGTGTTTGAGTCACAGCAGTGATGCAGAGTGCAGATTCATGGAAAAAACAAAGTTCAAACCCTCGTCTGTTAGGCAGAGCAAGAAACGAGTAAATGTCTTTTGCACTGATCAAGCTGGAGTTAAACAGCAGTTCCTTGCCCATACAGTCACGAGACGGAGGCTCCCCTTCTGCTGTGTATTTCAGCCTGGCCCAGTTCTGGGTAAAGCAGGAGCCAAAAGACACCATGTCCCCGGCTATTTGCACTTACTCCAGGCAGCAGTGGGATGTTTTGTTTTAACAAATTCCGTAAAAAGTTTGTTGTTTTTCGATTTGATCAGTTAGTGATCGACTTTCTTTGAATTTCTTTCTTTGCCTCTTCCGCTCATCTTGTGACTTTTTTTTTTTTTTTTTTTTTAACCTGTCCTGCCCAGCAGCCTGGTATAGAGTATAATGACCTGGATACCATATTGTGCCAGACAGATTTTACTTTAACAAGAGAGTATTAAAATACTCCTTTGTCTGTTTTATTATTTATTTAATTATGTATTGATTTGTCACCGGGCCGGACAGGGGGGCAGACACGGGGATGGGGGGGCACAAACAGACAGCACAGAGAAAGGACAACACCTGCAAGAGAAGGGGGAAAGGGGGATGGAGGGTGGGGACAACAGGGAAAAGCTGTGGGTAACACCAATTGCAGAAAGCAACGAAACCTGCAAGAGAACAGAGAGGGGGGCTTGGGGAGGAGAAAAACAACAACAAACAAACACAAACAAAAAAAACAATAAAAATAATAATAATAGTAAAAGACAACCAGCCGAACAGCAGCAATAAACAGCTGACATATTAATGACATATTAAGACAACTAAGAGAACAATGAAAACAAGAAACAGTCACACACTAAATACGCAACACAACACAGCCACGAGAGCTGGAATAATAATTAATTTAAATAAGTTACTGAAAGAAAAGCATCAGGAATAATTCTACCAGGGACAACCTAAGTTTGTTTGTGTCTGTATGTGTCTGTGTGCATGTGGGTGAATGTGTCTGTATGTGTGTGTGTGTACATGTGTGTGCGCATAAGCCTGTTAAAGAATGTAGTTGTTAGAGAGAGTGGGGCGCCACGACTGTAACAGGCAGGCAAGAACCCCAGTAGCCAATAGGGGTGGAAGAAAGAAAAAGAATAAATCAAATATCCAGCACCCCACCGCCGCTCATCTTGTGACTTTAACTGACTGCGTCGCATCCCTCGCAATGTGCTATGCTTAAATTTCTAAGCCCAGTGAACTCACCTCCAAAAGATGTCTCCACAGATGAAGGTAAGGGGGATCTGCTGTTTTTTTAGTGACTTCTTTCAACATATCTTATTGGATTATTAGTTATAAGACTGCCACGCATATTTTTCACATTGTGTTCCTAATTGCAGCCATATCCTATTTATACTATATTATATCCAGCTGTTTATTAGGATGGTAATGCTGTTTGCATTTAAATGTTAATTTTATGTGTATGCTGCCTAGGCACTTCATTGCACGTTATTATTAGGAATGTGTATTCCCTTTTTTATATAATTTTGTTTATAAATAAAAGTTTAAAGTTAAAAAGAGTTTGAACATTTAGAACAGGATGGTGGTGGGGGTTTGCATTTTAAATGTTATATAATCAATATAAAACATCAGAAAAGCAGATAATCGTTCCATCCAATCCATTTTTCTCTCACCTTTCATCTTTTTATAAGCATTGAATCCAGCAGCAGTGATGAAGTCATGTCACTGGGCTTCTCTGTTCAATAAAAAACAACAACAAAACTGTGAACTAAGGTTGACTAGGAGTTGAGTTAATACAATATAATCAAGGATTTGGTCAATTATTTTGAGGGAGATTTAAGAAAATCAAAAATGATCGGCTGATAATCTTGTTAGGCTGACATAATCTGATCAGGGATCCTGGAGCAATGTGTATTTTTTAAATTAAATTATTTACACAAAAAACTAAAGTACCCAACAAACCACAGACATGAAGTCCCATTCAGCACCTCCTAATCTCATTCTTACTCCAGTTGGTCCTGATCATTGCTTGGTCCACATTTGTTACGATGTCGTCCTTCACACCAGAGAGATGAAACACACAGTCGTACCTCCTCCAGTCTTCAGGTGTGACTGATGAAAGATTCAGGTCAACACTCATCTGGAAGGATCCATCGTTGTTGGGGAGGATCTCTCCGTGGTCCACGTCCTCATGAAGCTCCTCTCCATCTTTCCTCCAGAACATCGTGGCTCTGTCAGGGTAGAAACCTGTAGCGTGGCAGCTGACTGGAGAGGAGGGAGTCTTCTGGAGGAGAGACACTGAGGGAGGGTCTGGAGAGTAAAGAGAGAGGGAGACTGCATTACCTCTGCCAACTGCTGACCATGAGAATAGTATGATAAACACCTGGTCTGCGCAATATCTAAACATTTACAATTAAATAACATTACATACTAAAACACATTTCAGACAAGTATGTATTGAACAGGCATCCACAACCAAGTCAGCACCACTCCAACTCTACCATATTTGGCGCCTTCCCCCAGCAACCCCCTTTTTATAAGCTAATGGCACACTCCTGTACTGTTTCATCAGGTCTAGGTCTAAACAGAGGAGTGCAAGTACAACAGAGGAGACACGGGTGACGAAAAGGTGGTTTTCCTTGCTGATCACTATTAATAAATGTCACTAACAAAGCCAGAGAGAATAGGAAACTGGGGGGTTGAGACTCCCCCTGGGGCTCGTGATGATGAGCGGCTTGCTTAGCATCCCCCTGTGGTCTCTGTGGTAGAAAAAGAACAGTTACTTGGTGGAGTCATTAACTCTAGTATGAATGTGTTTGATGGTGGGAGGAACGTGAAAACATGCAAACTCCACACAGAAAGGCCTGGGTTCGAACCTGGGAGCTTCTTGGTGCACCACAGTGTTGATCTCTGGACCAACGTGCTGCACTTTGGGAGAAGCAGAGAAAGTGGTTAGACGAGTTTATATACGTATGTGCAGCTGATTGGATTAGAAAGGAATGGGTAGAGGAACTGAATGAGGCATTGTTGGTTGGATTAGTGAGAGAGAGAGGCATAGTCCTGTTCCTGGACTTTAGTAATATAACTTAATAAATGGTAATGTTTAGTGTAACTGGTGCTATGAAGGTTATTTAATTACACTTGACTCAGGCAAAGTCACTGATTTGGTATTTTGTCAAATCTTAGTGTTGATTTTGACACTGTGGACTATACAATTCTATTACAGATTACAAAACTGGGTGAAACTGTCTGGAACGGTACGTAAGTGGTTTAATATCTTCATGACAGAAAATATTTTGTTTCCATTGGAAAATGTGTGTCCCAGCAGATGGCCATGACCTGTGGAGTCCCACAAGGGTCCATCTTGGGACCTCTCATGTTTAACATATGTATGCTCCCTGTAGGCCAGATAATACAAAATAATAAAGTATCTTTTCATAGTAACGCAGACGACACACAAATCTGCATTTGATTTACACCAGGTGAGTATGGACCTATTTGATCTTTATGTAACTGTATTGAGCAAATCAGTGAATGGATGAAGCAAAATGTTCTCCAACTAAATACATATAAGATCAAGAAAGTTTTCTTTGGATCACAGAAAGAAAAACAGAATATCAGCTCTCACCTTAACTCCCTGTCTCTCGCCAGAAACCTTGTGTAGAGTAGTCCTGTCCATGCAAAACCCAGAATAGCCTACCCATGCTTTTATTACCATTAGATTGGATTACTGCAATGGTCTATTCACACAGCTTTCAAAAAGGCTTTTCAGCCACTCCATCGAATTCAGAACTCCACAGTGTTCTTTTTAAAATTTTTATTTTGCTTTTCTTGTATCAGTTGCTTGTACTTGCACATTTTAAAACTGTAAATATTTTACCTTTGCCAGTATATATACTTTTTGTTTGTTTGTCTTGTACCCTGTGAAGCACATTGAACTGTGTGTGCATTATTACACTATGATCCAAAATATTGACGCTTGTCAACTGGTCTTCTTCTCTTAAAATGTCAAATGTCGCATGCTTGGATTCCCCAGCATTGCCGCTTAGGGCTATATTTATAAAATTAAATATGATTCATCAACTTCCCGATAAGAGGGTGAATTCTCCTCCTTATCCCACTCACAAAGTTTAACTGCAAAACTTCCTTAATTGTCAAACTGAAACTCTTTCTGAAGCATCGGTGACATTTAACCCTTCGTGTGTCATCAGTGACGTGATATTCTTTATTTAAAAGACCTTCTCCGACAGAATCACAATCATAAATATCCCACTCTCATTTCGTTCCGCGGAGAAAAAGGACATAAGACAGCCGAAACAGCTCGGTCCTGTACCCACACTCTTTATCAAAACAAGATGAAAACGTTATTTTTTTTGCTTCTCTTCTGTCACGGTTCATCAGCAGGTAAGATGAGATTTTATTCCTTTACTTTAAGTTCTTTGGATTTTGATCCTGCGGTGCTCAAGGACACGGCCCGTAACTTAGTTTCACTTTTACCTGAGCTTAATAAGACTTTTGTTTTTAACCGAATCATCGTATAATACCATCATAATAATCATGTTTCTGAAGAATGTGATTATAATGTGTGTATATTTACACTTAGCCTAATATATAAACATTGTTTGTCCTATAGTGAAACACTCCCTGAAGATGTTCATTACGGGATCCTTTGTCTCTGGAGTCTCAGACCTAACGGTAGACGTTTTTGGCACAGGAGAGGTTGATGGCGTTCTGGTGGGTTACTGCGACAGCAACAGAAGGATAGCAGAACCAAGACAGGACTGGGTGAATGAAATAATTAAAAACGATCCTCAGCACTGGCAGCCGTACATTCAGCAGTGTTTTGAGAGTCAGCCAAACATCATAAAAGGCTTAATTCCTGCTTTGAAGGATCTCTTCAACCTAACTGATGGTAAGGCATTTCAACAACGAGGTAATTCTAAATGCTTTAAATAAAACATAAAAGCAACAGGGAAATATAAAAAAGTTTAAAAACAACATGGGGAAATTGAAAAAATACACATAAAAAAATTATATTATTATAATTGAGTTACAATTATTTTGAAAAGAGAATAAACAGAAGTACATTTAATCTACTCTCTAGCTAGTCTGTAGTCGGTCTATCCACTGAAACTCCAAAAAACCTCGGACACTACAGAGAAATCAGGACGTCTGTCCGCAGGCCACTTTGATCTAGTTATACTCTGGACCCGTTTACAGGTGGACAGAGGGCAAATCACTTAGGCGAGACATTTAAGACCACTTCCTTCACTCTGTTCAATCTCACTCCCATTATCTTTTCACTCAATTACCTACTCATTTCTCACCGTGTAAATATTTACTTAAAAGCAATGGTAAAAAGCTAAAAACAAAGAAAAAGAAAACAGGACAGTAAAAGTTACAGTGCAGTGTAAGTTATCAATCTACTAGTTAAAGGCAGTGGTAAAAAGAAAAGTCTTCAGTCCTAATTTAAAAGAACTGACTGTTTCAGCAGACCTGCAGTTATCTGGGAGTTTGTTCCAGATATACGGAGCATAATAACTGAACGCTGCTTCTCCTTGTTTAGATTTGACTCTGGGGACAGAAAGCAGACCTGTCCCAGACGACCTGAGAGGTCTGGATGGTTCATAACGAAGCAGAAGATCAGAAATGTATTTTGGCCCTAAACCATTTAGTGCTTTATAAACTAACAGCAGGATTTTGAAATCAATTCTTTGACATACAGGAAGCCAATGTAAAGACCTCAGAACTGGAGTGATGTGATCCACCTTTTTGGTCTTAGTGAGGACTCGAGCAGCAGCGCTCTGAATCAGCTGCAGCTGTCTGATGGATTTCTTAGGGAGCCCTGTAAGGACACTGTTACAGTAGTCAAGTCGACAGAAGATAAATGCATGGATAAGCTTTTCCAGGTCCTGCTGAGACATAAGTCCTTTAATCCATGATATATTCTTCAGGTGATAAGATGACTTTGTAATTGTGTTAATATGGCTCCTCAAATTCAGGTCTGAGTCCATCCTCAGTCCAAGATTTCTGGCTTGATTTGTGGTTCTTAACATTACAGATTGAAGTCGAGCACTGACTTTCAATCGTTCCTCCCTGGCTCCAAAAACAATAACTTCAGTTTTATCCTTGTTTAATTGAAGAAAATTCTGGCACATCCAATAGTTGACCTGCTCAATACAGTTAGACAGCGCCTGTATGGGATAGTCCCCTGGTGATGTCGTTATGTAAATCTGTGTGTCATCTGCATAATAACATATTTTGTTGTTTTTCATAATCTGAGCCAGTGGAAGCATGTAAATGTTAAAGAGGCCCCAGAATGGAGCCTCAGGGAACTCCACGTCATTTTGGTCAGCTCAGATGTGTGATTACCTATAGACACAAAGTAGTCCCTGTCCTTTAAGTAGGACTCAAACCAGTTTAGTACTGTGCCAGAAAGTCCAACCCAGTTTTCAAGTCTGTCTAGTAATATATTGTGGTCGACCGTGTCGAATACAGCACTGAGATCCAATAATACTAAGTCTTAAATTCTGCCACTGTCAGTGTTTAAATGGATGTCATTGAAGACTCTTAACAAGAGCCGTCTCAGTGCTGTGGGTCGAAAACCTGACTGGAAGACAGTTATTCAGTGTCAAGAAAGCACTAAGCTTTTCAATGATTTTACTTAAAAATGGGAGATTTGATATGGGCCTGTAATTGCTCATTAGTGAACTGTCTAGATTGCTCTTTTTTAAGAGTGGCTTAATGATATTGTTTTCAGGGCCTGTGGGAAAAAACCTGAGAGGAGAGACATGTTGAGAATTTGTAGTAGATCTGGAGAGGCAGAAACCTCAAGCAGAACCATGGCTCAGGGTGGGCGGCCATCTGCCTCGACCGGTTGGGGTGAAGGAGAGAGAGAGAGAGGGAGCGAGAGAGATGGAAGGCAGCCTACACAACATATACACACAGAGGTACAGACAGTAAAGGTGATGTTGCTATAGACTAAATGAAAAATGGTACAGATATTTATAGTAGTGTTAATGATTATAATAACAATAGGACTAGTAACAATAGTTGCAGCAAAGGGTGTCGAGCAGGAACACGGGGGCAGCAGGTGACCCGCAACCACAGATCCAGTCTCCACAGCTCCAGAACCAGAAACACCTGCAGGAAGTGATAGGAGGAGAGAGGAGAGGGACGAGAAAGCACAAGACTACCAGAAAGGGGAGAAGTCGAGTTAGTAACATGCAATGATGGGATGAGGTTGCATACAGAGGGAGAGAAAGTAGAGGAGAGAGGAGCTCAGTGCATCATGGGTAATCCCCCGGCAGTCTAGGCCTATAGCAGCATAACTAAGGGATGGTTCAGGAGTCACCTGAGCCAGCCCTAACTATAAGCTTTATCAAAGAGGAAAGTCTTAAGCCTACTCTTAAATGTGGAGATGGTGTCTGCCTCCTGAACCCAAACTGGAACCTGGTTCCACAGGAGAGGAGCTTGATAGCTGAACGCTCTGGCTCCTAGTCTACTTTTGGAGACTCTAGGAACCACAAGTAACCCTGCATTCTGGGAGCGCAGTGCTCTGGTGGGGTAGTAAGGTACTATGAGCTCTTTAAGATAAGATGGTGCCTGACCATTAAGAGCTTTGTAGGTAAGAAGAATGATTTTAAATTCTATTCTGGATTTTACTGGAAGCCAATGCAGAGAAGCTAAGACAGGAGAAGTATGATCTCTCTTCCTGGTTCCTGTCAGAACACGTGCTGCAGCATTCTGGATCAGCTGAAGAGTCTTAATGGACTTTTTCGAGCAGCCTGATAATAAAGAATTGCAGTAATCCAGCCTAGAAGTAACAAATGCATGGACTAGTTTTTCTGCATCATTTTTAGACAGGATGTTCCTGATTTTCGCAATATTACGTAGGTGAAAAAAGGCGGTCCTTGAAATTTGCTTAATGTGAGACTTAAACGACATGTCCTGATCAAAGATAACTCCAAGATTCCTCACAGTGGTGCTGGAGGTCAAGGCGATGCCATCCAGGGAAACTATATCTTTAGATAATGCGTCACGGACGTGCTTAGGCCCCAGAACAATAACTTCAGTTTTATCTGCGTTTAACATACAGGTTTACTAAAGTACAGTAGCGTTAGCTACCAAAACCTTTGAACAATTATGAGATTGAACAGCAGTCACTAAAAGATGGAAAGAACTGTGAGTGCTTAGGCAAAATTACTGTAAGAATAAGTGTTTAGCGGACAGTTGGCCGCTGTAATCTAACAAATTTAACTGGTATTTAGCGAAAGCAGCACAACACGCTACCAACACACAAGCACCGGAAAAACGGAAATGAGTGGTGGAGGTGGACGGTGAGGGGGTTTATGGTAGAGAAAATGTGAGTGGAGCAAGGGAAGGTGTGGGGAGTAAATTTTGTCGCAGCTCTAACCAGGTCTTCCATGTGATCAGTGAAGTCCAACAGCGGGGAGAGGGGAGAAAGGGTGTCTGGAGATAAGGATGACCTGGATGGGGATTGGGGGGGTAAAGATGGTGAATCCTCACTGTTGGTTTTCAGTGAGGGAGGTGGGGGCTCTTCCTCTTGGCTCAGTTGTCTCCCATGATAAGAGCTGTCTTCCGGCGTGGGCTGAGGTGGCTCTCCTTCAAGGTTTCTGGCATGTTGTGTTATGTCTTCTTCTTGTTTTGATTCCTGTTGTCTCTGGTCCTTGGTATAGGGAACAGATGAGTGACGCAGAAAGTAAAACAGGTTGGAGCTGAACAATTTTACTCCTGACTTATTAAGGCGAAGTCCATCTGCCTTAAAAAGATGTCTGCGGTCCCACAGAAAGTAAAAGTTTTTGATAAAATGCACTGAATGGACAGTACATGCTGTTGAAAGCCACGTGTTCAATGCCATCAGTCTGCTGAATCTCTCAGCTCCTCTTCGGATTGGCGGTACAGGGCCACTGATAAACACCTCAGCATTCAAAGAGCTGACCGTGTTCAACAGATTATTAAAGTCCTCTTTCAACACTTCAGACTGTTGCTTCACAACATCATTGGCCCCGATGTGCAGTATGATGTTTTTCACAGTAGGATGTTCAGCCACGATATGCAGGATTCTTTCTGCCAAGTCAGACACCGTATCCTTCTGAAAGCAGAGTATTTTGGTGTTCTTACTGCACATGCTTCTTACATCGTTTACAGCAGCGTCACCCACAATCAGAGTTTGAGGCCCAGTCGTTTTCCCTGCAGCCTTTTACTTTCTGATTTACTCTCAGTCCTTACCCTTCTGTGTGAGGATGGGATGTTATCCAGGTCATCAGACGGAGATCCAGGGTCCTGCAATAGTGGTGAAAATCTGTTCTGCTGTTGCACACTACTCTCCCTTTCGCAGTTGTCCACGGCTGAGTCCTACCAAGAACAGGGGTTGAAGAGGCGCTCTGCCTGGATGATAATGCATGCCAGCCAGTCGCATCACAAATCTCAGGGCGCTGGGTTCTGCCTGTTACTCATCCTCCCATTTCCCCAGCGTTCCAGGGAGGCCTCCTGCTTCGTGGTAGTCTTGTTGGTCTTAATTAGCCGTGTGTTAGCATGCTCTTGTCCACTGTTTTGGGTCCACGGTAAAGTACATAATCCACTCACTTCCACATTCACTTCTAACCTGTAGATCTTGGTTTCAAGCACAGTAATTGTCTGTAGAAGTTTGTAGAAGTTGTCCGTGGAGAAGGGGGGAATCTTGTTGCTAATTAGCATTAGCTATAGCTCCAGTCACTGCAGTACAGGCTAGTGCTATTGATAGGCCGCACTCGCGTAGCACTATGTTCATCAAAGTTTTTAAAGTATGGCAAGAGCCAACTTTATCTGACAGTCCCAGAGATTTAAAAGTATCCAAGAGCTGCTGATTTCTAGCAGAAGAAAAAAGAACCCAAGCAGAGGCAAGATCAAGCAGCAAAGCGTCTGCACTGTAAGAAAGCAGGAAGTATGAAGTCTACATACAATCTAGGCTACTGTTAGATTTCATGTTATAGTTCATGACTTAATCCACAGCAATTACAACTGTGTGAGCAATAGGGTGACCAGATGAGAACAGGTGAAATTCAGGACAGGGGAGTTGGGAATGGGCGTGGCCTCCAGTAGTACATTAGGCTACATTCAGTTTTAAATGTAAAACCCTAATACTTGAAAAATAAAAACTGTACACTAGTTTTTATGAAGTCAAGTGTAAATCAAGATCTGTTAAATTCAGTTTTATCAATTTCACCAGTGCGGTGCCTATCAGATCTTTTCTGCTCCGTGACTGCCTGCAGCTAGCTCCGTTCTCACAACTCAAATGCTCAAGTGACAAAACATTTGTCTGTGTCAACTCAACTTATTTCTGTCGTCTGTTGCCCTCCTTGTCATTTGACTGTGTTGTCCTGCTCTGTGGATTCTGACTGTGTCATGACCATGTGTCATTTTACCATTATTTCTAAAAGAATCGTACTTCTTTTTGCAACCAGAAGAGTTGCCCCCTGCTGGGCGTTCAATAGAATGCAGGTTTAAGGGACTTCTGCGTTTGCATCAGTTCGCTGACCGGGAGCTTCCCACTTGGTTCAGAGTCAACAAATGAGGGAGGAAGGAGATGCTACAAACTTCCCCAGCTGGACTCCAACCAGGCCAGGGACATCGCAGTTCATGGTCAGATCTGGCCCGCCAGCAATAATACGTATCTGGCCTGCAGCTTGATAGCGAATAGCGGCTGGTGCTAGTGAAATAGTTCTGTCATGACAGCTACAGTTACTCACATAGCCCAATCACTTCAAGTGATTGTGGCTCCAAAAAGCGCAAGAACGTTTTTTGCAGCAATAAGCTACTTTGTGTCAAGTTTATTGAGAGCTTTTACTTTGAAGAGTTCTGAACGACATTCAAAAGAGACACCAGTGTATGTGATCAGAGTTTGTCAACCCTGAGTTTGCTTGATAACCCTGAGTCAACACAGGGTAGGTTAAACTCCCTTTTTAGTACAGGCCACAGTACATGATTAAATAAACTAATACACTAATAAACTATTTGTATTATACACTCTACTGTTGTATATTTTTATATATATATATAGAGTTTTGTTGTTTTAATATTTTTCTGTACAGCACTTTGTAACTGTGTTCTAATTAGTTTTACCATTGTAACTTTTATACTGTGGAACACATTTCATCACAAAAAAAGTGCTCTGATTCTATGCTCTTGAATCATGAGCACACCACTAGACAAAATATTTATATATTTTTAAGATAATCTTTCCACTCAAGATATCATCTGTACATCACTGTTAACTGCAGTCTCTGTTTCTGTCTCTCTCAGGTGTCCACATTATACAGCAGATGGTTGGCTGTGAGTGGGACGAAGAAACTGGAGAGGTTAATGGTTTATTGAAGTTTGGTTTTGATGGAGAAGACTTCATGTCATTAGACCTGACGACATCAACGTGGACTTCTGCAAATCCACAGGCTGAAAAGGCCATACTCTTATGGAATATCAATGAAAACAGAGCAGTAGAGGAAAGTTACTTCCTCACTAAGGTGTTCCCTGAGTGGCTGAAGAAGTACGTGACCTATGGCAACAGCTCTCTGCAGAGAAGAGGTAGAATCACATGACCTGATGTAGTTTCATGGACAGAATGTTTATATAGCTTTCTCAGACTGAATTACCATTGGATTATTCAATTTAATTCAATTTCAATTCAGTTTTATTTATGTAGTTCACAACATGTTATCTCATAGCGCTTTTCATATAGAGCAGATCTAGACCGTACTCTGGGATATTATTTACAGAAACCCAACAATTCCCACCATGAGCAAACACAAGGCGACAGAGGTAAGGAAAAACTTCCTTTTAAGAGGCAGAAACCAAATGCAGAATCATGGCTGATGTGGGCAGTCATTTTATCACTCCAGTAAGTCTGACATCACCTTCTTTTATGCCATTTTAGGTTCACAGATTTGGGCTATGATGGGAACTACATAAAAATTTCACTAAAGTTATTTGAAATTAGATTGCTGAGATAAACTGATTATTTCCTTAGGTAGGTAGCTGGGTTTATTGTCACAATATAACAAGTTATAGAGTGAAATTGAGCTTTGTAACTCCCTTATGCTACATAGCAGACAGTAAACATTAATATAAAATCAACTGGTCAAAATGGTAAACAGAAATAAACTATCATCACTGGAGCAGTGCTGAGGATGGATTAGAGTTTAAGAGTCTGATAGCTTGGGGGGAAAGCTGCTCTGCAGTCTGGTGGTGTGGCAGCAGAAACTTCTATATCTCTTCCCAGAAGGCAGCAGGGCGAACAGGCTGTGGCTGGGTGGGTACTGTCCTTTAGTATCCTTTGGGCTCTGCATAGGCACCTCACCTCACCGATATCACTGATGCTTAGGACACTAGGATTTTCTGAGCAGTTTCACCCGCTGCAGAGCCCTCTGGTCCTGGGCCGTGCACAACCCATGCCAGTTTGTGATGATTCCCAGGAACCTGAAACTATTCACCTGCTGCACCTAAGCACCACTGATGTAGAGAGGAGTATGTGTCTTTATATTCTTCTTCTAAAATCAACAATCAGCTCCTTAGTTTTGCTGACGTTGAGCAGTAGGTTGTTCTCTGAGCACCACAAGATTATGGATTTCCTCCCGATATGAAGTCTCATTGTTTTCCGATGATGGTGGCGTCATCCGCAAACTTCACAACAGAGTTATCTCCATGTCAGGGGATGCAGTCATGGGTGTACAGTGTGAACAGGAGGGTGCCCTGGGGGGCTCCGGTGTTGAGCACTAGAGTGGAGGACGTGAGTCCACCAATCCGAACTGACTGAGGTTCATCAGGTAATGTGGCTTCACACATGATGGGGGCGCTCCTGCCTTTGATGCCTGTGATGTTTTTGATGGCCTGCCATGTATCTTTGGTGTTGAGGTCTCTCCAGTCTCTGCTGATGTCTTCGCTTTAGCTCCTTGATGCCAGCTTTAAGTCTCACTCTGGCAGTGCTGTAAGCGTCTTTATCACCATACTGAAAAGCAGCTTTTTTGGGTCTGTAAAGAGCCCTCAACTCTCCATTCTTCCAGGCCTTCTGATTGGGTAATGATTTTATCGTTTTAGTGATCACCACATCATCAACACATTTGCGTATGTATGATGTCACTGATGTACGTATATTCCTCAAGGTTGATATGGCTCTCCTGGGTGGTGGCCTCTCTGAACACACTCCACACTGTGCTCCCAAAACAGTCCTGCATAGCTGCTGTAGATTCATCTGTCCACACTTTGACTGTTTTAATTGTTGGCTTGACCCTTTTAATCAGCTGCATGTAAGTGTGTTGAAGAAGCAGAGAAATATGGGGACGGGGGAGGTGCATTTTGTATATAGGATTGGGCATTTAGGGCATTGCCCAATCCTAAATACCTGCCAATTATTGCTAACACATAAATGAAATACTACAATTTCACTCACCGAAACAACTGGATCAGAGGCTTCTTGGGCAGTCTGTTGTACAATTAACAGCAGAGCACAGCATAATATTCCTCCGCTCTGCTGTGCTCGCTCCAGCTCCAGCGACGTACTCAGAGGATGACGAGTTGAGAGCCAAAACCTCGATCAGTTTGTCAGGGGGCGTGGCTTGTGATTGACAGTTTCAGCAGGAAGTAACAAAAATTACATGCAGTGAACGATGAATGGTAAATGAAGTTTATCACATCAGTCACCTTAAATTTAGCCACTCTGTATTTCAGTTCACATGCATTTTCATCACCTCCATTTTATTATTTACTTTTTGTTACTTTAACCCTTGAGGCTACCTGCTTTAAAAGATGAATGCCAATTTTGGTTTGTGAATGATTGATAAATAAAAATGGTTTTCATTCTATCACTACTGTTTTAATCAAATCTACTTAAAATTAATCAAATCACTTGAATATTTATCACACTATTTTTCAATTCACATCCATTTTCATAACCTCCTTTTTTATCAATTAATATTTGTTATTTCCACCCGTCATAGTGCAGAACCATAGTAAAAACAAATAATTGTGAGCTGCTAATGACATGAGTGACAGATGTGGCATTTGATAAAACAAATAGTCCAGTTGGACGCAGCCTTGCAGAGGGCATACATCTAACTAATGAGAGATAGTTTGATTACCTGGAAAAAAAATGCAGATGTGTATTTTTAGCCCGATTTGCCGCTTGGCGAGCACGGTGACCGTCAGGCTGTGTTCGGGAGTAAATTAGCAGTTGATCTGTGGTCGACAGTCGTTATATGTGAACTACTCAACTCATCAATCAAAACAGCTTCCCGACACATCACTGACGTCTGCCAGATATCTAGCATGCCAAATACCTGGAAAAGAATAAGAATCAGAAGGAGAATTAATGCTAAGTAGTGTTTTACACATATGAGGAATTTGCTGTGGTGATAAGGTGCTACATGTAGACAAACATACAGTGAACATAAATAAATGTAGAAAAATATAAATATGGAATAGAAGAACAACGTTGCAGATATATACATGGGCATTATTCTGGGTCTGTGCCGTGCAGAAGTAACGCAACGGAAGAGAATATTGGGTACATATAAATATACAACAACAAAGGTCAACAACAAATATGTGCGACGTGCCAGGTCTGTGCACGACACGAGATGAAACAGTATTTACATGTGCAGAGACATTTGTATCATTTGCAAGGGGAGAGTGTCAGTGGGGCACCCGGACCGCAGCCTCCTGCCAGAGGGGAGAGTCTAAAAACAGTTTGTGTCCCTGGTGTGAGGGGTCAGCTGCAATCTTTCCTGCACACCTCAGAGTCCTCGAGGAGTACAGGTCCAGAAAAGAAGGAAGATTGCAGCCAATCACTTTCTCTGCAGAGTGAATGATACACTGCAGTAGAACTGGTTCAGCTCATTTGCCAGGCGAGAATCATTTATGGAGTGGAGGACTTTGGGTTTATAGTTTGTGATCTGTCTGAACCCCCTCCAGACAGAAGTGGCGTCGTTTGCAGAGAACTGGTTCTTTAGTCTCTCTGAGTACAGTCGTTTAGCTTCTCGCACCTCCCTGCTAAACCTGTACTTTAAGGCCCTGTCACCACTCCTAAATGCCTCCTCCTTTTTCAACCTTAGCTGTCTGAGTTTAGCTGTGAACCAGAGTTTGTCATTGTTATAACTCACCCTGGTCCGTGTTAGAATGCAGCTGTCCTCACAGAAGCTGATGTACGACGTCACAGCCTCTGTAAAGTCATCCAGATTGTTGGTAGCCTTCTTGAAAACATCCCAGTCAGTGCAGTCCAAACAGCTTCACTAGTCCACTTCTTTGATGTCCTCACTACAGGTTTACAGAGCTTTTAGTTTTTGCCTGTAAGCAGGGATCAGATGGACCATCACGTGATCAGAGTGTCCCAGTGGAGCACGTGTGATGGCGTAATAGGCACTGCTAACTGTGGTGTAGCAGTGATCCAAAGTGTTCCCCTCTCTGGTTGGACACTTTATAAACTGTCTGTATTTGGGGAGTTCTCGGCTGAGATTTCCCCTGTTAAAGCCACTGAGAACAATAACAAGGGAGACCGGGTTTGTCTGCTCCACACACAGTATCTGGTCGGTCAGCATGCTCTGTGCGTCCTGAACATTGCTGTGCGGCAAGATGTAAACACCGACCAGAGTGAATGAAACAACCTCACGGCCATCGGCTGACACTGAAAGTCGCGTAGTCTGTAGTGTTGTGTCGTTCAAAGAACGTTTCGCTCATTTGACCTAATCGTGTGTATGACTCGGGAGAAACGGGTTGACTCAGTGAGGGATTCGTTCACTGTCACGCATGCGTGAAGGATCTTGGACTCTTACTTTCACACGTCAGCTGCATGGGCTCCGTCAGCACAGTATTGGTATTGTTTGTACTCCGTGCTAGAAACAGGATATTCTTACTGTGATGGACTATATTGATGTATGTTTTGTAATACAATTTTCACAAAATCTGCTTCTATATTTTCCTTTGCAAGTGTTTTTGATGCTATCTTACTGTGCTCCCTCCCTTTGCTCCCAAAGCACACGAGCTTGCTCACACCCACATGTGCTATTGCTGAGCCTGGGCAGTTAGATACAGAAAGGAGCACATACACTCAGAGCTATAGAGTTATAGCACTGTGATCCTAACTTTACACTATAAAATAACACTTTAAATGATGACAATGTAGACCACCATTGCTCTAGTAATTAATGATAACGATTTAGGCTATAATGCTCCAAAATAATTCACAACACTCTCCAAAACAAACAGACCCGGTCATAAAAACATTAAAACACGTAGCAACGTTAGCATTAGCTCTGTAAACAGCTAACAGCTGATCCGGTCCGCCAGAGAACGCAACATAACTTTTCCTTTTTATTCACCAACTGAGCTGTGCTGTTGTTTTACAGCTCCTGATTGGTGAACAACCTGCAGTGTTTGAGAGTGATGTCCTCAAGTTTGTTTCTCTCTGTCAGCAGTGTCCAGACCTGATGTGGCCCATTCTGCATCCAGACCTGCCAAACTGCTGCGTTTACATGTGTTTATTTTTTTGTTCCTCTCTCTGTGCTGGAGTTCTTTAAGAACTTGGTGGCTTGATCCAGATTATCATTAAATTGGTTGAATTTTAATAATAGTTTATTCATATAGTGTAATATTTTACTCATGGATAGGGACGTTAGGCTACTGTATGAATGAGCACTTTAGAGATAAAGATAGTAATTATATACATAAGCCTTTATATGGCTGGTCTGGTTGTATACTCAGGAAAGATTGTGAAAATGGAAGGATTTAGCCGGAGTAGTGGTGATTACATATAGACAACATATTTCTGTGGTTTGAATTTGGTTGTGAGCCCAAGGGGGTTTATATAATGATTGATGGTGATCAAGAGGTGAATTTGTGCATTATACTTCAAGGTCAATTAAAGCAAGCCAGGCAGCCTTCCATGTTTGAGAATGGCACTGTTTTTTAATCGCCCACTAGAGGGCTGTAGCGCTGCAATAAACAGCCTAGTTCAAATGAACGAAATGACACAAAAAAAGATTTGTTCATTTTAATGAATGAGATTTGAATGAACGAGTCTGTCAAAAGAGTCGAACTTGCCTTCACTAGTTGCTGTGCAGCCTCCGCTAACGTTACCGCAGCTATATATTGACATCCGCCGGCACCGTGGTCGGCACTTGTCGACTCCGAAAATGTTTGAACACATTTGCGATTCGCCGTCAATTTTCATCAGACTTCCTATATTCGACATCTACACAGTTGATTTCTTGCCTCAAAATTTCTCAGAAGTGTATTTAAAGTTCTGTTGTTGGCCTCTAAAGAATAAAACGGTTTGCATTAGGATCTATACTGTACGTGAGCCGAGATTAACGTCATCACGTTTTGTGTGCGGTGTCTTCTGGGACAAACCATATTCAAAGCAAGTTCAACTTCCGTCAGGTCTGCGGGCTGCAGCTGGATATACTTGGCCTGCCCCACGTTATTTACTTGTTGTTGTTTTGTCATTTTTGTAGTAGTTAGCTATCTAGCTGCTTTAATACACGTAACTGTCCTACATTCAGAGTTTTGTAATTAGAATTTCTTTAACGTAAAATGAGCTATGTGTGTCATTTCATTATAACTATTTAATTTCATATTTTATGTAATTGTCAGCTAACACTGGTGCTTAAGGCATGAGCAGTGAAATTGGGGAGTAGTTATTGTAGAGATACATTTTTACAGTTTATTTCATTTCAAGTCTTTTGTGAGTCCTTTCACAATAAACATGCCATTTGTTTTAACTCTGGAATTCCCAAAACTAACCCCAGTTCCCCAACAACAGTTTATATCTACTGCTTTATTGGACGCAGATTAAATTATTCAGTCAACATGAGCAAGAGGAAAGCAGATACTTGCTAAAAGTTGAAACTTTAAACTTGATGAGAATGAGAAAAATGAGGAATTAGATATGCAGACTGTATTTTATAATGTCTTTGGTTGTGGTTCGACATTGTATGGGTCTGTTTTGAGCGGTCATGATGACCTGCTGTTATTTTCTTTCTGCAAAGTAACCTCAAGTTTGGGGGCCTAAACATACTCGAACTCACCAAATTTTGCACATAATTCAGACGCGGTGAAATATTTTGTATTTTATGGGTTTCCCGCATGGTTGTGGCAAAATGGCTCGTTAGCGCCCCCTACAGAGCAGCCCTCGGACAAAGTTTCATGTCCAGAGGCACAAAAAAGCCTACAGGAAGTCGGCCATGAACTCCTCCTAGGGAATTCATTCGATCGACTTAAAATTTCTGCTGTGCCTTCTAAATGTATTGACGATGAAAAGGTGTGCTATCTGTGAGTTTTTGTCAATGGGCATGTCCGTGGCGTGGTGTCCAAGATCAATGATTTGTCACAAAACAGAAACTTGTTAGAACTTGCTCACATCTGTACCAAATTTGACATGTATGATAACAGCCCCGCCTTGAACATGCCAATATTCACTGAAAGTCATAGCGCCACCTGCTGGTAACAGGAAATGACAGGTTTTTACGCTATGATGGACTACTCCTAGCAGGTTGGCCATATCAACGTCAAAACTGTCCCAGAAAACCCTTAACATTGATAATTCCATGTTGTAAAACTTGTGAGTTTTTGGTAAACGGCGTGGCGGTGGCGTGGCGGCGAAGTTACAGGCTTCGCCATGACACAGGAAGTTGTTGTAACTTGACTGTACATGCTCAGATCAATTTCAATCAAACAATCTTTTACAGAACATAATAGCAGATGGTAACATTTTCCATTTATTTTGCTGGCAGTTTAAAACTACTGTAGTCTTGAATATCTTAAAAAGATAAGAACAGTGGTGTCTGCTTTTATGGATAGTGTGTTACAATACAGTGTGTATATATACTGTGCTCAGGGAATGGCCTCATGAGCAATAAAGAAGTGTGGCTGAGGTCCTCGTTGGTCAGCTCCTGGTAGTGGCAGGTCAGAATGGCAGTTGGGTTGACCAAACACTAATTCTGCTGTCATAAACCTCAGCCTCAGTTAGCGCTGGAAGCGGCAGTCATCCAGGCGCAGTTCTTGGAGAAAGTGGTGAAATTCAAAGGGCTGTGTCTCCTGATGGTATCATATATCTAAATACAACGGCGTTTGGTTTTCCAACGTATCTCTGAATTCCACAACAGGTACAAAGCAGCAACAGTTGGTATATCAGCCATGGTTGATGGCAGAAAGAAATGGTGGAAAGAGAAGTTGTCATTATTTACGCAGAAGCCCCTCCTCCTCTCCTCTTTCCCAGAAGTGAAGGGGAATGCGGGCTCATGTAGTTTGCATATTCCCACAAATAGTAAATATGGTACCAGGGTCAAACTTATATTGTTAGGTAAACATTAACTTTGTGTTTTACGTGAACCTCCTCTACGTCTTCTTCCTGGGACCCTGGTTGCCTACCCTCCTTTGCTTCGGCCTGACTCCGGGCCTGTCCCTGGTCTGTGCTTGGCTCTGGAGTGCAGTCCTCATCAAAGTCATCAATGCTGTCATCGTGGAAGCGCTAACTTGACATACAACGTACTGTTTATATTATCAGTCTAGCACACAATTCACATTTATCAAAGCGTAACTGATGGTAACGGGAAAATGTGTAACAACCTGTTTTTAGTTTTGGCTAATGTAGGGTGAGCATACATCCTCTTTTTCCCGGACATTTCCTCTTTTTGGAAACAATTTGGTGTCTTGTAAGCCTATGCAATCTGGACGTAATTATACACATAACACAATAAAACTTTATTCATTAATTTACTATTGAGTAGTAATGCAATTTTCTCTCTCTCTCTCTCTCTCTCTCTCTCTCTCTCTCTCTCTCTCTCTCTCTCTCTCTCTCTCTCTCTCTCTCTCTCTCTCCCCCTCCCTCCCTCCCTCCAGACCTTCCCTCAGTGTCTCTCCTCCAGAAGACTCCCTCCTCTCCAGTCAGCTGCCACGCTACAGGTTTCTACCCTGACAGAGCCACGATGTTCTGGAGGAAAGATGGAGAGGAGCTTCATGAGGACGTGGACCACGGAGAGATCCTCCCCAACAACGATGGATCCTTCCAGATGAGTGTTGACCTGAATCCTCCAACTGGAGACTGGGAGAAGTACAAATGTGTGTTTCAGCTTGCTGGTGTGAAGAACGACATCGTCACCAAACTGGACAAAGCAAAGATCAGAACCAACTGGAGTAAGAATGACTGGAACTTTTGGTTTTTGTGTTACAAACAATTTAATTAAACAAATAAACATTGCTTGCCCTAGGATTACTATATGAGCAACTCATTTGATTTTATTGAAAACACAGAATGTTTTAAAGCATTTTTTGTTTTTAACCAAACTGACAGGTTTGTGCTGACTGTTGACTCATTACTCAACTAAACTGAAGAGTCAGAGTCTGTCTCTCAAATCTAAGACAAGAATTTTAAGGTGCACCCAGTCAAGGGTAAACCTAAAAGTATTTGCCCCCTTTTCCCACTCCCAGAAAATGACCAATGCCACTATTTTTGCAGTCCAAAAAGTTTAATTTATTTACAATTATCTCAAGGCCAAAATAACAAACAAAACAGCATTTACCCTTACTTACTGATTTACCTAACAAAACAATGTATGTCTTAACAATATGTTTTTAGAGACACACACCTTTAAGGTAATTGACAAAATCAACTCCAAGTCAGTTTTAGTTTACAGTAACAACATGAATGAATAAATAATTGGATGGAGCAGCTCAGCCATTCAGCATATGTTACCATGGAGATCTACCCCGGTAAGAAGTGAACCACCTTAGGCCTATTGAAAACCCAGGGTAACCCCGAAGTTACCTGGATAAGCTCAAATCCTGCTTTGTGGTACAGGCCTCTGGTCTAATTTGTTGTTGTTGTTTTGTTCAACAGAGAAGGCCAGTAACGTGACTGTCCCCATCATTTCTGCAGTGGCTGTTCTTGCTCTCATTCTCATCGCTGCTGCTGGATTCAGGGCTTACAAAAAGAAGAAAGGTGAGGGAGAAAAATCATGGTGATTTTTTCAGTTCTTTGATTTTAGTCTTTGAGTTGATGCTTTTATCAAGTAAAATTTAACAAGCATCTGTTCCCTACAACCCACAGTTTTAAGTACCCACTGACTCTACCATGACAATGTGGGAGTGAAGTGAAAAGAAAAAACTAAACAGTTTAAGTGTGTAGAAGAGATGATCATGTTCACTGCGGAAAAGGTGACGAAAGACATTCTGGCATTTACAGCTGGAACTGAAATGATTTGTCTTTTGTTTTGATTTCAGGTCACTGCCCTCCATCTTGTAAGTAAGAGTTTGCTGTCTCACTGACACACACTTCATGCTGTAGATTCAAAAGGGCTTTAAATTATTATGCGCAGGTTTTCAAGACTGTATCTTGCATTTACTGTTTGTAATGCTTCAGTGCAGGATGAGTCCATTGTTTCACACAGTTTGTTTTTTACCTTACAGCTCCTGAAAACGGCTCTGAACTCTCTGAGCATCTGAATTCAACTGCCTGTAATATGCCCAGTGGCCACACCTCCTAACTTTCAGATCTTATCATGACTACTTGGTAACCATTAGGGTGCCACTCAAAAATAAAGTTTTTAATTTTCATCTTTCCATCCCCTGAATGTGTTAATAACGTGGCAAGAACTAAGTTGGCAAAATTTGGATGTATTCTAATAATATTTACTGGTAGCTCAACACTGTCAATGTTTTACAATAATAATATTAACTTTAATATCACAAGTTAGAATAATGCAAAAAACATTAAAAAAAAAGACCATCAGCTGTTAATAGTTCAGAAGTGAATAATAAACAGTTAAGTATCCATAAGTCCTCAGAGAATGACAGCATTAGCAACAGCTACATGAGCGGTCGTCCACTAAACGGAAGGTTGGGAACTCCTGGTGGCTGTGCCATCGGTGTGTGAAAGAGTTCATTTCTGTTTCGGATGAGCACTTGGGTCTCTGCTTATAGGTGGGTGAATGTGATGTATTGTAAAGCACTTTGAGTGGTCAAAAAGACTAAAAAGGTACTAAACAAATACAGTCCAAATATGAGAATAATTAAGTATAACATGACACACAGATGCTGCATGGTGCAGTGGTTAGCACTGTCGCCTCACAGCAAGAAGATGCGTGGATCGACGCCCAGGCCTTTCTTTGTGAAGTTTGCATGTTCTCCCATGTCTATGTGGGTTCTCTTCATGTTCTTCTGCTTCCTCTCATAGTCCATAGACATGCATAGGTTAACTGGTGACTCTTAAGTGGCCTTAGGTGTGAATTTGTGTGTGAATTGTTTGTCTCTATGAGTTAGCTCTCTGATGAACTAGCGACCTGTCCAGGGTTAGCCCAATAACAGCTGGGACTGGCTCCAGCCCCCTCGCGACCCTGCACAGAGTTAACTATACTATGACTATGCTGTAGTACTAACCCAAAAATATTATTCTGATTACATGCCATTTAAACCAAATAATAACACAAATCAGAAAAATAAAATGAAAAAAGAACAGTTAAATGATAATAATACTTACTCAAGGATTAATTTACTTTGGTAGAGAAATTTTGAATTAAATAACAGTTCGTCGCAATAAAAGTACAAAAAACATTGAGCCCATTGAGCTACCAGTAAATATTAATATATCTAAATGAAACTTTCCACAGTTACTATGCACCATAAAAGGAACAGAATAAGGTGGTGGGACATGGAAAATGTTTTTAAAACAATTTGGCCATTACATTGAGTGGCACCTTAGTAACCATGGTAATTAATGTTAGGATATGATTTTGGAAAAAAGCCATTACAGATTAACAGTTACTCAGTCAATGTTCTTATCCTAACTCCTATCTTATTTTAGGTTAGGAAAACTACGCCAACATTGCTAATCAGATTTATTGTCACCTAGCAACCAACACTACTTCTACTTTTCTCATCTTGCCAAACTCAGCACCTTGGTAACCATTGTTCCTTATTAAAACACACTGAAACATACATTGAATATAGAGCAAAGACAGATGAGTTAGAGTTCTTCTCTGTTGAGAAATCTAAATTTACATCAGCGCTAACTCTCAGAAAAGCATCTCTTGTATCCAAAGAGCAGAAGAAGTGGTGGTGATCTCCTGATATCTTAGACTCGCATTAAGATATGTTACATGCAGCCTTTATATTATGTTATATAATGATACATTATCTAGCATTTAATCACCTACAGCCTTTCCACTAACAAGTGTTTTGAAGAAGTTCCACCTGTTGACATTTTTTGGATTTTGTAAAAGTAATAACAAAACAGCCATATGGATTAAAGAAGTTACCAAACACTATCTGGTGCTAAAAGTAAAAGTTAGGACATATTAATAGTATAGAATTAGGAGAGTTTTGTAAGCTTTGGGGAGGTTATGATGCTTGTGTAATAGGCCTACACTTCATATCTTAAGTTAGAATTTGCTTCTGTAATACCAAAGTCCTTTCGTACAGTGTGCCTATTAAAGGGTAATATGCTAAATATGGCATTGTCTCGTTCATTAAAAGAGATCTAACACAAATCTCTTTTCTATCAAAGAATTGTTTCAAAAATGTGGGGTCTTAAATTTATATTTGTTGAGGTCTTAAAAGGTCACAAACAGCATTAAATTTGACTTTAGAAATGGTGCAAGAACCCTGATACAGAAATCTGCAATAAACACGGAAACACCGGCATGCAGGCTGTGGCTTTTCTCCAGACATGTTCAGGCTCTGTTACTTCACTGTTCCCAGGCACAATATTCCTGGGAAAAAGGCAGTGTGACAGCAGCTATAGACAGACAGGGAGACAGCTTCACACACCATGCTGGAAACTCAGGTAAACTCCCACTGCAACGTTACAGTAATATTTTTATCAACTTATGATTTAACTAATCCATACTTGTTAAATGATGATGTTACAGTTTAGCCGATGTGATACATCATCATTAGCTCGCCTGCTGCTTTTCAGTAACTATACTATGTCTATAATATCTTCCACTGGAATCTCAGCAATGTGAGCACAGCTAAATGTATTGGATGATAACGAAACGGTTAGTGATGTGGACTGAATATTATAAATAAGATTGTTGTCACACTTTAGACCGCAGTAATGTGGGTCAAAGTTAGCTTCAGCGACTGAGTGGTGGAAAGCTGTGTACCTGAGTATCTGTAAAAGACAATAAATCTAAATTGAACTTTACAAAGCAAACAGCTGCAGGTCAAAGCTAATGTAGCGATAGCTGACTGCTCTGCCTGCATCACTACAGGCTAGTAAACAAATCTCTCCACATTTGTTTTTTTACCGTTACATCCATAATATTCGCTTTAGCTGGTGAAGGGATGTGGAAAGGGATCCAACTTTGCACTGGATAACGATAGCAACTGCTCAGAAAATTGTGAGCGTTAAAGAATTAATTCCTGCATTCTGGTGTTTTTCTGCACCAATTTATGGTGGAAATTATTTATGTAAAGGGGAACACAAAATTCAGGTGGCTGTATCTTTGTTTCACTGTTTGCTTTTAAATGACTTGAAGGCTGGCAATTCTGCCTTCAGATGTTATGATTGATTACTCATTTGATCATCCTTGTTGCTGAATTGTGGTGAATATTTAACAACTTGTTAACTTGAGCTTGTAACTGATTATTTATTCCCATCTTAAATGTGCAATTGTACTACTGCCTGCCTTGGCCAGGACACTCTTGGAAAAAGAGTTTTTCTAGTTTAATAAAAGTATAAAAAAATAATATAAAATCTAAAACTGTAACAGAATATAATGCAGAGCAGCTCTCAGCTTTCAGATATGTTTCTCTTGTAAATCAACTTTTAATATCATCACTGCTGAATCAACACACACGCAGGTGTGACTGATTGAGGTAACCTCTTTAAATGTGCATCCGTGTGGAAGGGATCCATACCATGGATTCTGCAACCCATTGCACCACTACTATCCATGGTAGTGTGGGGATTTAATTCTTTCATGTTTTGTTCACAGTTCCTGTGTCCACATGAGGAAAAGTCAAGATAGGCTATCAGAGTAAAAATCTCTAGACTAGGGAACTTGATGAGTTTATTTTTTTTAAGTAGCCCATTAAAATATTCCCGCAAATGCAGTGAAGAAGCTGATTATCTGTAATTTGCTAATTATTTCCCTTTTTTAAATCTCCATGAAGGTGTTTATAAGATCACTTTAAAATATCACTTTTGCTGCCCAGGCAACTTTTGTTACCTGTGCCTTTTATTATGGAGATGTAGCCAATCAAACCTCTTGTAGCACAGGCTGCCAATACAATCTGATTATTCCTAAAGCATCTAAATAATCTACACAACGCAGATGATTATTGTGGCAGTAACATGAGAGCAGCTTGTTGTTGAAGCAGGTAAACCAACATACAGAGGAATCTGTGCGTCATGCGTAAAACCCAACAGAACAATTTTATCCACCATATTCTTTCTCTCTCTGTGCATAAATAAATAACAGCTGGTAGCTGCTGAGTGAAAGATTAGTTTCACCGGCGACATTCTGTTTATGGAGCCACCGTCGGACATCGCTATAAAACAAATAGTAACCAATGTGTATAAAAGAAACAGGCTAATGTCCAAAGCGATGTTCTGTTCAACAACAGGAAACTTTTAATATATCTCAAACAATGCAGTGATCGTCTGACATAGATCTTACAGTGTGTAGTCTTCTTTTCCTCTGCAGAGACTAAAGACACTTTTAATGCACCGTTAATGGAAAGTGAAAGTATTGGAAAGTTGAAAAACACACTGAAGGAGTTCCTTAACACATAATAATGACACATGCAGTAGTTTTACAGAACGAAAAGGTGGCTTCCTGCAATAAAATTTGATTTAATATTTTATTTCACATTACACATTTATAATGTAAATGTTTTTTAAAATTTAGTTTGATTCATACCTATTTTTATCATTGATTTATTCATTGATGCAATAGCATGTTAAATCAGTGTTTTTTGAAAGATTTTATTGTTTTCAAATTACTACATAAATTACACATTTTTGTAAACATGTAGAAACTGAATTTAACCACTACTTGTGACTGATTATTGAAATGGATTATTTGGTAAGACAGGGGAAGAGATATAATTCCTGACAAGTTACTCAAACCACTGGGGTTGCTAATGGTTGCCAATCTATTGGTAAGACTGGTGGAACCAGATAGACAGTGATGGTGGTTGGACTACTGAGCGGGTCATGGCATTCACATGAAGTCAGTCACAATCAAGTCAGTCAAACCAGCCACTGTAGTTTACCCTGAGCAGTTATGATGTAGATATAAGGCCGGGTCATACCACAGAGTATCTGCTTTTTGCTTGGGTGAGTGAAGGATTAAAGATACGTTAGATTGGGGGCAGAGAATGGTGTTGCCTGTCAGAATACTTATGACTGCACAGCCTGAGACCCACTGCAGGATCTAATGATAGATCAAAACATCCTTTAACATGAATACTGGGCTTCCATAGAAATACTTACCAAACTTCTGACACATTGTATTATGCATTAATAGCCAGCAATTTCATAATAAATGTATTTCTAATATCTAATATGTGTTTCAGCTCTTTGGTGTCAAGAACAACATGGTCACCAGTAGAAATGGGTATCGTTAAAGAAACTGTATTACTACTCTTACCGATGTTGCTTACAGATCCAGTACTACTTATATGATATTCTTATGGATTGTCTTTGTTTTCTAAAATACAGGACGAACAAAATAAACAATTATTTACTGCAACAAAAAATACAGTGGAATAGCAACACAAGTAGCAAAATCATTAAATGGATGATTGAATTTATGAACCACCTACAGCAAAACAATCAGCTGGCTATGGGTTATAGTAATAGTAAAAGGGAGAATGAGTCTTTTTATGCAGTTTTACCAGTACCAGCTCATCTTGCCTCGCCTCAGTTTTGGTCCGCCATCCTTCGTTTTCCATTTTGTGAGACGCATTTTAACCAGTTACTAGGACAACATGGATGCACACACACGCAGAGTGGAAGTTGGAAGAGCAAGATCCTCAAAGTGATTAAAAATACAATATAATAATCAACCATGAAATGATTTTACATGAAAAAGGACTAATACCAATTCAAGTCAAGTTCTGCAATCCTACTGTAGGCCTATGTGTACAATATACATTGAGCACTGGGCTCATATATACATATACATGTATATGTCTTTTTTCGACTACTCAAAGCGCTTTTACACTACATCTGCATTCAGCAGTCATACACTGGAGGGACAGCCGCCAGGGGCAAATCGGGGTTCAGTATCTTGCCCAAGGACACTTCGCCATGCAACCAGGGGGAGCCAGGGATTGAACCGCCAACCTTCTGCTCTACCTCCTGAGCCACAGCCGCCACGTCTGGGGTACTTGTTTTTTATATTTTACATTTTATTGTTAAAATGTTTTGCAATTGGCACCCATCCATCATATTCACAGAGCAATAGCTACTATAGTAACCGTTAAACAGTGACATAGACATTGATAGAAAGACAGCTGGAGATTTCATCTGCATCATGTTAATCACAGTCTCTGTCTCTCTCTCAGGTGTCCATGTTTTACAGAGGATGAGCGGCTGTGAGTGGGATGAGGAGACTGGAGAGTTTAATGGTTTTAGTCAGTATGGTTATGATGGAGAGGACTTGATGGCATTTGACCCGAAGACATCGACATGGATCACTTTGAAACCAAACGCTGTCACCATCAAAGAGAGGTGGGATTCTGACAAAGCTAGAGCAAAAAACAATGAGGTTTACCTCACCCAGCTTTGTCCTGAGTTGCTGAAGAAGTATTTGGACTATGGGAGGATGACTCTCCAGAGAACAGGTAGAATCACATGACCTGATGTAGACACAACAATGTTCAAATCTCTGATCAGACTGACTTGCCGTTGTATTATCACTCCAATCAATCTGACACAACCTTATTTTTGTGGCAATAAGATTTGATTTAGCCATAAATTAAATAGACTGACATTTTTGGGTAAATTACTTTTTTCTCAAAGCTGAGACTGTGAGCTAGTGCACAGTTAGTGTAAGTAAGTTTTTAAAGATTAGTTTTTTCAAAATATTGAGTTTGCTGTATCTTGACTTGTCAAGTCACTGCTGGTTAATCAAGGCAATGTTGAGCCAAACGCAGGCAGTCCAGGATGATTCACTGATAAGGTAGCTTACAGGCAGGCAGGTAGGTACAGGTCCTTGTAACATAACAGAAAATAAATTTACAGCTCAAAGAAAACACTATCTGTGTCTTTCTTAACAATTTAGACAGCATTCTTTGTAAAGCTAAGGTGGTTTTTAATCACAGTTTCAAAATATTTAAAGCTACTGATGGTTTCTACAGTGATTGTCAAAGTTTTTTCAGGTGCCATTTAAATCCTGTATATTTCTGCACACACATCAAGCTACTGATACCAAACAATATATTTTTTGTATTCACCACCTGTATGTGTGATGAACATCTTCACATGTTGTGATCACATTATGTTTGCTCTCAGATGGGTCCAGCAACATCACCATACCGATTACTGCTGCAGTGGTTGTTTTTGCTGTCGTTCTCATCGCTGTTATTGGATTTACTGTTTACAAAAAGAAGAGAGGTGAGAGACTTAAAAGGAGCTGAGTTCATGTTCTTATTCAGACTGCAAAATTTAAGCAACATTTAATAGTAAACAAACATCTGAAGCAACCAACAGTAAGACAGAGTAGCCTTTGATATAAACATACAGTATAATACACACAATATAAAGAGATCTAAAAAGAAAATGAAATGAAAAGTCATTTATGTATCACTTTAATTCACATGAGACAAAATTAGTATAAAAGATATTCTGCCATGTTAAACTGTGACAAGTAAAATTATTTGTAATTTTTTCTTATTTCAGCAAATCGCCCTCCAACTCGTAAGTAGAATCTTGTTTTTATTCTGTTGGTGTGACATTCACTCTGTAGATTAAAAAGGGCTTTCAGTGTGAGCTGAGGTAGTTCAGTGCAGGAAAAGAGGACTAACAGTGTGTTTCTGACCTTACAGCTTCTGTCAACAGCTCTGAGCTCTCTGAGAGACTGAATCCAGAAACAAGATTGACAAACTTTTCTGTTCTGGGGTCCTGGGGTTTTAGTGTTTTCGGTGTGGTGGGGATGTTTTTACTATTGTTCTGAAATGGCTCTGTAGTGTCAAGCACTTTCTGCTACATGTATTTGTATGAAAAGTGATATATAAATAAAGATTGGATTGATTGATTGATTGAAACACACCACCCTGCACCCAACTGTATTAAAGCCCTGCACGCAGTGACGTCATGTGAGAAGGCAAAACAGTAAATACTGCACTGTGTTAAATATTCACACCTCTAGTCAGGGTCTGAAATTAGCACCGATAAAATGCAGGTAAATACTGTTAGCAGACAGAGAAAATGCACTACAGAAAGACACATGTAACACACACCGAGCACTCAGCTCAGGGAATATCAGTGGTGGAGTTTCAAACCAAACTCACCAGTGGAAGAGGCCCAGTTCGTACTGATTGACAGTCAGTGCGCTGTTTACAAACAGCACCAGCCGGTCGAAGCTGAGAATTATTTTTGTTTGCTGTGTTTGCTCCAGAAGAGGAGGCTTTTGTTGAGGTATGCTATCTTGTGAAGATTTGAACTGAGATGAGGACTGACAAACAGATAGCTTTCCATGAGCAACAATACCTAGCTTTACATATATATAGATACAAAACTTAATGCACTTTTATACACTATTATCACAGAGACTAAATGAATGTAGCTCCAAACTGTGAAATTATAAAGGAAGGACAAAATCAGCAGTGCAGATATGTGACACACTGCTGGTTTTATAGACTGTATTGGAGGTAATAATAATAATCCTTATTTGTAGAGCACTTTTCAAAAACAAGTTACAATGTGCTTTAACAAGTGTAAAGAATAATACAAAAAAACAAGATAAGAGCATGAAAATATTGAAAAGACTAAAATACAGATTAATATAAAATTAGTAAAATACAATAAAATAAAATGGATAAAATAAAGTCAAATAAGATCGGGAAAGGCTCTCCTATAAAAGTATGTTTTAAGAAGGGACTTATAAGAGTTCACTGACTCAGCCGACCTGATTTCCTCAGGCAGGCTGTTCCAGAGCCTCGGGGCCCTGACAGCAAACGCTCTGTCCCCTTTAGTTTTCAGTCGAGACTCTGGAACAGACAACAGACCTCTGCCCGAGGATCTCAAGGTACGTGCTGGTGCGTATGGGACTAAAAGTTCAGAAATATAATAAGGCGAGAGGCCATGAAGAGCTTTAAAAGTGATCAATAAAATTTTAAAGTCAATTCTAAAACATACTGGGAGCCAGTGTAATGAAGCTAAAATAGGAGTAATGTGGTCATATTTCTTTGTTCTGGTTAAAAGCCTGGCAGCTGAGTTCTGGACAGTCTGGAGTCGATCAGTAGATTTTTGGTTTAAACAGGTGAAAAGGCTGTTGCAATAATCCAGGCATGATGAGATGAAGGCGTGTAAAATGGTCTTTAAAAGTTAACATAGATCGAATTGTTGCTATATTTCTAAGTTGATAAAAACATGATTGAACAAGCTTTGTGGTGTGCTGCTCGAAATTTAAATTACTCTCAAACCAAACACCAAGGTTCTTTGCAACAGGCTTAATGTGATTTACTAGGGAACCAGCAGATGGCAGTATTTGATTTGCCATCTGCTGAGACCCAAATCCTTAAGTATAATGTTATAAGAAAGCACTACTTACAACTTTAATTAATGGTATAATTTGTTGTCTCAAGACATTGGTCACCTCACTGCCAGTCAGATTTTAAATGTTGTTCTTTAACCTATGGCATTACTTTGTTACTTGAGCTGTCACACACAGATCCCCCTCTTTATAAGAGATATAAATTATATAATAATTTTATTCAGGCTACAGTTACTCCAATTTTCTGCATATTGCCTACTTGCTCTTGCATTGGTAAAATCTATTATGTTTTTACTAACATTTCACATTTGAGGTGTTATGTTTTCTTTTAGTGAAAGAAAAATATGAATGGTGTGTGTGTGTATAAGTCAGGTCTATTGAAATAAGAGTCATGAAGGCACTTCCTGTATCACCAAAAAAGTAGCTAGTAGGACCAAAAGTCTCTTATGAGATACACATGTGGGGCTATTTCAAATTTACTGACTGAACTTCTTGCCTTCAGTTGCTCTTTATTTTTCTGTAACAGAACAGAAAGCAGAACAGTAAAGTTAAACGTCTCATATAAACCTAAACTGAACTTATTCCAGTCATCAGTGAAATGAAACATTTTGACTGTGGCTGTTTGGAAATGCCTCCAACACACCACCAACAACAATAAATACACTGCTCAAAAAAAACAAAAAAAAACACTTAAACAACACAATGTAACTCCAAGTCAATCACACTCCTGTGAAATCAAACTGTCCACTTAGAAAGCAACACTGATTGACAATCAATTTCACATGCTGTTGTGCAAATGGAATAGACAACAGGTAGAAATTATAGGCAATTAGCAAGACACCCACAATAAAGGAGTGGTTCTGCAGGTGGAGACCACAAACCACTTCTCAGTTCCTATGCTTCCTGGCTTCCAGAGCCCTGCAAAATGACCTCCAGCAGGCCACAAATGTGCATGTGTCTGCTCAAACGGTCAGAAACAGACTCCATGAGGGCCCGACGTCTACAGGTGGGGGTTGTGCTTACAGCCCAACACCGTGCAGGACGTTTGGCATTTGCCAGAGAACACCAAGATTGGCAAATTCGCCACTGGCGCCCTGTGCTCTTCACAGATGAAAGCAGGTTCACACTGAGCACATGTGACAGACGTGACAGAGTCTGGAGACGCTGTGGAGAACGTTCTGCTGCCTGCAACATCCTCCAGCGTGACCGGTTTGGCGGTGGGTCAGTAATGGTGTGGGGTGGCATTTCTTTGGGGGGCCGCACAGCCCTCCATGTGCTTGCCAGAGGTAGCCTGACTGCCATTAGGTACCAAGATGAGATCCTCAGACCCCTTGTGAGACCATATGCTGGTGCGGTTGGCCCTGGGTTCCTCCTAATGCAACACAATGCTAGACCTCATGTGGCTGGAGTGTGTCAGCAGTTCCTGCAAGAGGAAGGCATTGATGCTATGGACTGGCCCGCCCGTTCCCCAGACCTGAATCCAATTGAGCACATCTGGGACATCATGTCTCGCTCCATCCACCAACGCCACGTTGCACCACAGACTGTCCAGGAGTTGGCGGATGCTTTAGTCCAGGTCTGGGAGGAGATCCCTCAGGAGACCATCCGCCACCTCATCAGGAGCATCCCCAGGCGTTGTAGGGAGGTCATACAGCCCACACACACTACTGAGCCTCATTCTGACTTGTTTTAAGGACATTACATCAAAGTTGGATCGGCTTTCCACTTTGATTTTGAGTGTGACTCCAAATCCAGACCTCCATGGGTTGATAAATTTGATTTCCATTGATAATTTGTGTGATTTTGTTGTCAGCACATTCAACTATGTAAACAAAGGAGTATTTAATGAGATTATTTAATTCAGATCTAGGATGTGTTATTTTAGTGTTCCCTTTATGTTTTTTGGAGCAGTGTATTTTCATTTTTTAAATAAAACACTGAAAATGATAAATGCCTTTTCTTTACACTTGCAGCACAAACAATCAAACAACTACATTTATGTCTTATGTCTCCAATAATGACATCTAAATGTGGTATAACACTTGTTTTGTCAGAGATTTCTGTAGCTCGAACCCAAATGCAGACAATGACTCAGTTCGGGAGGGTATTTACACGTTTCATTGAACACAAGGAAAAGGGATTGGTTAGATGCAGGGGGTTGGATGCCTCCGGTGTGGTGAGGCATGAAAGAGCTAGGTGAGGCAGGACAGGTAACAGGGCTGACTGGGAAGAGCGTCGGTGGTGGGGAGATTTCCAGGCTGGCGTTCCTTGAGGTAGAGCGACTCCAGGATAGAGCAGGGTCTCCAAGGACTCTAAACAGGGCGCAGGGTCAAAACTGACACAAAGTTCAGGAGGCAGGTTAGGCAGATAGTAGCATTACCTACTACACAACTAATAATCCAGCCAGGAACTGAGGAGATGGCAGGGTATATAAACCAGTCCAGATGACAACAGGAGACAGGTGTGTGAAGAGTAAATTGCCTGCAGCTGGAGGAAGACGCCCAGCTCCCAGAGACACTGCCCACAACTCCGCCCTGAAGGAGAGAGGTGGAAAAGCGAGGAAGAGGGAGAGAGAGAGAGAAGGGAACACCACAGGAAGACAGACAAAACCAAAACCCACCAAGCATCTCTTACACGCTCAAAAGGGGACAAAATAAACTCAAACACATCCACACAACACACCAGCTGTCACCTCCCTGCTTGTGGCAGCATGACATGTTTACTGTTATTAAATACTACCAAAACTACAACCTATATCACAAATAGATCATTTTAAACATCATTAAAAAGAAGTATATACAGGACACAGAGGTGTCCTGGCTGATTATGAAGACAGTTCAGACTTGCATGTAGCATCATATCGCTGCTGAGGAGATGATTTAATATATCACAATCACCTCTCTGACATGATTACCACATTTCAAAAACAACCATATCACTTTTTGTTTTATATTTTGCTGTATCTAGCAACACAGTTGGGGCAGGGACAACTGACTGAACCCCATGTTGACGGGGATCATCAGGTCTCCTGGTTCTGCTTCTAGGCATCTCCTCAGTAGTAGACGAACCGTCGGATTAGGAGGAGGAGGAGGATGGCACTCTGGAGGTCTGCGATGTAACTCTAGTCCTTCTCCACCTCCAATGAGTACAAGCTCCACTTCCGGTACTTTTTGTTGTACACCTTGCTGTACCTGATAATACAGAAAGGATGATCAGCTTAGTGAAAAGTTTGTAATACCTGACATTATTCTCTTATACAGTAATTAGCATTTCCACATAAAATGCAATCAAAACAATAAATCAGCACCATCTATCTGTATTCCTCATACTGTTTAATATTTTTTGACTCATCACTTATAAATGTATTGAGTAAAATGCATAGGAGTAATAATAAAAATGCAACATACTGAACTGTGTCATCAGCTTTTCTCCTGGCTGGACTGTGGACACGGTGGTTGTAATCCAGGCCAACCAGCATGGTCCGATCAGTGTACTGGTGAGAAGTACAGGGCTATGAAAGATTTTTTACTTCTGGTAAAATAAGTAATGGCATAACAGCACCAATTACAGTAAAAGGTTTTCACACAGTAGGTTTAGCTACGAACAATGTCAACTATATTATATTATAGGTAGCTTATATATCAGAAACACAGATACTTGGGGACCCTTATCCATCATTGTTTATGTATACTAACGTTGAAAAGTCTTTCTCATAACTACACACAGCTACATCACCACATTTGTAAAAGTAACATACAGTCAAACATCAACTGCAGACACAAGATAATCACACAAACAGCCCCTTGGTGTTCCTCAGTTGCCACTATAGTTGAAAAGCCACGCAGATATTACCTCTGGTCTGAACGCTTGGCTCTTCAGGTCTGAGAGAGATGACCGGTTGTTGTTAGCAGCAGGGTTGGTAGCCATGGCAACGAGGGAGAGTGACAGTCAGCCAGCCAATCATTGAATAAGTGTTTTAGAAGCAACTTGCCTACCCGGCTTTTAATAGAGCTTATTTACAATAATTCAGTGAAGGCTTGAACCGAGCAGTGGGCACAGCACTGTGTTTGGACTGCGGTGTGAACGTTAAGTCTTGTATTTAGGAAATTAAATAAACACAGCAGTAGGTGTGGTAAATTGCTTTAGTGGGATTCTAGTGCAAAGCTAACGTTAGCTCCGCTATCGTGGTTAACGTTAGCCGCATTAGCATTAAGCCTGAAATCCGAAACGCCACAGTAGTCAGTGGCATGTGGTGGGTTAGTTTTTGTGGAACTACTGTAACGCTAACGTTAGCTCTGCTTATTAGTTTCAAACTCATAAATTCAAATTCAAGTTGAGCAATTCAAATTCAGTTTTTTAATGCAAGTATTCAAGTTGAGCAATTCAAAGTCAGTTATAAAGCTTGATAAATACGGGGCCCAGGCATTTAATGGGAACCTGCATTTATTTGTCAAAATGTGTTCCCACACCAGTCCAGTAAAGGACATAGTTGGCTTTATGGGACTCAGCTATTGAAGTGTTACAGTATTTGTATTTCATATGACAATTTCAAGAATGTTTATTTTATTGTATTGTTTGTGTTACATTGATGCAATAATGTGTTTCCTGTCCTGGAGAGTTCTGAAGTGGCCAGCAATGACTCCAGATCTTAATCCCAAAGAGCACCATTAGAGAGGTCTCAAAAACAGCAGTTTGGAGAAGGAACTACGATGGAAATTTGATATTTTACTCTGTTTACTGTTTCATCCTGCATGCTCCATTATTATATACAAAGGTCTCACTGTATGGTATTTGATTATTTTATCATGTTAGGAGATTTCTTATCTGACTGACCTTGATAGGCCTTTAAATCTCAAAGACCTTGAACTGTTGGCAAAAGAGGAGTGATCCAAAATTCCAGTACAGAGGTGTAATAAAATCACTGATGGTTGAGGGTTATTTTGTTTAGTAAATTTTTGGAGTTCTGTGTGGAATGTTTTGGCTTTTTTATCTGGTGGTATTATGGCGCGTCCATATGTCAGCTCCTCCATGTCGAAGTGTCCTTGGGCAAGATACTGAACCCCAAATTGGTTCTGATGACTGCACTGTTAGTGTGTGTGTGTGTGAATAAATGGTTGAATGTGACATGTAGTGTAAAGCTCTAACTATAACTACAGTCCATTTATCCATTTTATTTTTTTACTGTACACACTGTTTATTTTATTGTATTCCATTCTATTACTCTATATTTAAACTATTTTAGTCTTTTTTTCTCATCTAGTTTGATTCTTTTTATGCATATAGTTTGACCATTGTTGTTTGACCACCCGAGAATTATGCCAATGACTGTAATTGCTGTGCACATGACAATAAAGAATTTGCAGCTTGAAATACAATTTTATATTGATACAAACATAGCAACGAACATATTTGTTGTCAGTATCTGTCGTATTTATAATCCAATGAAGAAGAAACACTCTCTGTAAGAGTGTTTAGTGTTTTACTTTGTTTAGATGGCAAAAGTAATGATGGAGGCATTCCCTCCGACGCCAGATCTTAAATTTGAATCATCTAAAAAAGGACATGAAAAGGGAGAGGAGAGTTCTGGCTCTCCAAATCCTAAGCTATCTGGTACATGCTGTAAATCAAGCACACAGTGTACCTAAAAATTACTATGTAAATAAATATTAATATCATGTAATTATTTTGTTTCAATATTTGATGAGCACACTTGTTGTGCAATGTTTGTAGCCTTTAGGTATCTGGAATCTAGACCTGCCATTACTGACGGGGTGAATTGTTGTGAAGCAGCAGATGTGGAATTGTGATATAAGTACACCTGCGATACCTTGATGTATAATAAATGGTGCATGAACTGTCTTCTGAACGACTTAATGCACACTACATGACAACATTCACCCATTCTCACACACATTCATACTCTCATGGAAGAGGTTGTCTCGTTTACTAGGACACTTCTGAAAATGACAAAAAAAAAAAAGTTCCATAAAAATATTAATGTAAAATAGACAAAGTACTCAAATCTAATATGAAGAGGTTTGTCTCACTTGTACAGTGTAGTAATACAATTCAGCATATCTATGCACATATCTGGAAGCTATTTTTAAAAAATTCCGCAGCATTAATAAGTAATTTATTGATGGTCCCTTAGCAAACCGACTTGGTTCCCTTGGTGGTACCCAAGTAAAATTACTTCACTTACCTATTATTTATGAGACATTAAGTAATGTAATAAAAATTGCGAAGTTTCACGTTGTTATCCACGTGCTGTTTTTTGCGACGTTTAATAATGTTAAAAGCAGTTTATTTTGAAAGTGTACTTTTGTAACTGGGCGTTGCATATTTATTGTTTGACCGCGGAGCCCTAAACGTCCAAAACACGACGCCAAGAGGTTTTGACCAAGCGTCCGTACCAACACTGGGTGAAAGTAGCCTAAGAAGACGCCCCTGGATCCCGAGTGAATGTCTGTTAAAACCGCAGTTCAAAGGTATGGCGGGTGGATAGTGCCACGGATAACCTACCAAAGGAGACCGTCGTGTGACAGCTACGTGTGTGGATAGGCTGCCATAACTCGCCGCCAAGTCGCCGCCGGTCTCCCGTCTGCAGTCCCAATCACTCCCATTCAAAAATCCACACGGTCTGGCGGCGACGGCAGGGTAGACTGCTCCTTCTCCTTCTCCTGGTAATCCTCGCTCTGACACTATCCACCCGCCATACAAAGGTAGGGTTGTCCCAACTCTAGCTGAAAAACAATAACGCCACGCATCAGAACAGGATGAAAAACTTATTTTTGTTGCTTCTCTTCTGTCACGTTTCATCACCAGGTAAGATCACATTTTAAGTATTTAGTTCAAGCTCTTTGCTTTACTTTCCACACAGATCTGCGTTTTACAGGCGTGCTTTAGTTTTTTTTATAACGTCCATCTCCATAAGCCTGATAGGCCTATGTTATAACTGAATTATACTGAAAATACATCACATTTATGACACGTGATGAAGATGTGCATATTTATAGGCAACTGAGTGTATAAACCTTGTTTGTCTTACAGTGAAACACTCCCTGAAGTTTTTCGCAGCTGCATCTTCTGGAGTCTCACACTTAATTGTAGCAGCTGCAGTTGTTGATGGTATAATGGCGGTTTACTGCGACAGTAGAGAAGTACAAGCAAAACAGGACTGGATGAAAACATTTTTTGAAAACAATCCTCAGCATAATGAGACTTACAGTCGAGAGTGTTTCAAGCATCTGCCGAACGTCGTCCAAGCCTGGATTGAACTTTTTAAGCAGCACTTCAACCAAAGTGGAGGTAAAGTATTTATGTTTGTTAGATTTTACATTTTACTGTAAAATGTTTTGCTTTCTGGTTTGGTGTTCATCAAACAGATATAGCTTATATTATGAACACATAGACTTGTGGTAAAGTGTGCACCTTACAGCCATCTGTATTTAGAGCTGGGACTGTATCTGAGGCAGCAGGTGTCTCACAGGTCTGACTGTGTGTTGGTGCAGAATACAAGAAGACATCCCCACCTTGTGTAGTGTCATTGGCAGCCATCTATCATTTCACAGAACAATAGCTACCATTGTAACAAAAGACAAATGGAGTTATCATCTGTGCATCATGTTAATCAGTCTCTCTTTCTCTCTCAGGGGTCCATGTTTTACAAAGGATGTGTGGCTGTGAGTGGGATGATGAGACAGAAGAATTTAATGGTTTCTCTCTGTATGGTTATGATGGAGAAGACTTATTGGCATTTGACCTGAAGACAGAGAAATGGATTGCTCTGAAACCACAGGCGTTCGACATCAAAAAGGAATGGGATGCTGACAAAGACAGAGCAAAAAAGTATGAGAATTACCTCACTCGTATTTGCCCCGAATGGCTGAAGAAGTATGTGGACTATGGCAACAGTTCTATGCAGAGAACAGGTAGAATCACATGACTTGATGTAGACACAATCAGTGGCGTGTGGTCGGGTAAATTGCCAAGTGAGAGGGGATGTCCTTTTTGATGGCAATTATCTAATGTATTGTGGTATTACATACCCGCTGCTTATAGTGCACAGTACAAATAGGTTACAGTTAAGAATAAAATAAGCATTCAGAAGTTAAATCAGAAGATGTTTTACATTTGCATAGTAGCAGTGGTGCATGTATCAAATAGGCCTACATACTTCTTGTTTAATGCTTGGCCAAATGTTCATAACACAACATCACTCAAGACTAACAGTATATACAGAGTGTGAACAATTATTCAGGTAACCTGACCCAGTGCCCTGCAGGTGCCCTGCAGGTGCTGTTCGTGGAGCTCATTATCTACTTATGCGTACACAACCGCAGTAAAAATAATAAGGTTACTTCAGCAACTATTCATTCACACCTAAATTCAGACAAGCAAAGCAAAATAAACAATATATATCAAAAACTGCACACAGTTCAGTTAAGTTCAGAGAGAGAAGGAGATGACATTTTACTCACCCTATTTGAAAAGGAAGACCATTCTCCTGTCTTTCATGGGGGCGAAGTGGTCAATAAACAAGTTATAGAATTTGAATGATGTTGACCACATGCTGTGATTTGATTGGCGTGAAGCCAGACAGCAGCTTTTTTTTCCGCAAAGGGATGCCAACTCTGCCTTCACGTAGTCAGTCTGCAGGTCAGTCTACGGTAGTGCATTACTTTCTATCAAAGCTGAGACTGTGAGAGCTAGTGCACAGTTAGCATAAGTAAGTTTACACAGATTATAAAATAGAGAGTTTGCTGTTTCACTGAACAGTGATACTGTTATTGACTACTTTGCTGTGAACCATAAAAACAGGCAGATCCTTATCTCTGACTGTAGTGAGTTTCTTTAGTGGTGATGTCACTACCTTCTCTGTCTATACTGTATACAGACAGTGTGAAAGTTATGTAACAAATGGGTTGTTATGTAGTACTGTCTTATGTTGTAGCTCATTAGATTGCTGTCTGGGCCTGTATATGTAGTGCATTTACCTGAATGAGATGTTGTTTACATGTGAGCCTAATGATTTTGTGTCTTGAGATCACTTAGGTATCCTGGAGATGTTGACCACCATGGAGCTTTACTTTTTGCATGCAGATGCTTGCAGTTTGTTTGGTTCTTGTTCACACACTCAAGGACGCACATGCATGAAGGACATGGACATTGATCCTGAACAGTTGGTCGTAGTAAATCAACTACAGAGGCAGTGACTAAGAATGCATGATTTTAAATATTTACAAAATCAAGTTTGCAAATGTTCATGAGGAAGGAAATGTATTGTTTTGCATTTGTTAGACCTCAACGATGCACTTTGTTGAGAAACACTGAATTCAAACATAACTTGTTTGTTTAAAAGAATACGTTTCACTTAAAAAAAAAAAATTGGTATGATTTGCATCATAGTCATTAGTTATTATAGTTTTGTTTTTTTTTATAATTTTCCCACCTTCAGTTAGTGATTCCCTATTAAATTTTTTCAACATGCTTTTACTTTGTTTTCTTTACTTTCTGGTTCACCCTTTCGTTTCTCTCTCTCTCTCTCTCTCTCTCTCTCTCTCTCTCTCTCTCTCTCTCTCTCCAGAGCTTCCCTCAGTGTCTCTCCTCCAGAAGACTCCCTCCTCTCCAGTCAGCTGCCACGCTACAGGTTTCTACCCTGACAGAGCCACGATGTTCTGGAGGAAAGATGGAGAGGAGCTTCATGAGGACGTGGACCTCGGAGAGATCCTCCCCAACAACGAAGGATCCTTCCAGATGAGTGTTGACCTGAATCCTCCAACTGAAGACTGGGAGAAGTACGAATGTGTGTTTCAGCTCACTGGTGCGAAGGACGACATCGTCACTAAACTGGACAAAGCAAAGATCAGAACCAACTGGGGTAAGAATCTGTTTAAAAATGACAAAGGTGAGAAATACTGTATATTTCTGCACACACATCAAGCTCGTGATAGGATGCAATAGATTGTATTATCCAAAGAAGGTAAAAGTATAGGGCAACTGCTGGTAAACGACCTCACGGAGGTTAAATAGCTGAGTTTCCCAACCAGTCATTTTTGAACAGAAGTAGTCTCTCAGATTAGGGACGAAACATCTTCTAGTATCTTCAACCAAGTCCAGTTGCCCTTGACTTTAACCTTCTTTGGATAACTATGACCTGGATGACTGAGAACCTTCACAGACAATAGATTATATTGTTTTTACCAACTTTTGTTTGATGAACATCTTCACATATTGTGATCATATTGTTTTGTATGTTTTTTTATTGTTTTTGCTGAGCAGATGAGTCCAGTAACATCACCATCCTGATTACCGCTGCAGTGTTTGTTCCTGCTGTCGTCCTCATTGCTGTTATTGGATTTACTGTTTACAAAAAAAAGAAAGGTGAGAGACTCAAAAGAGCTGAGTTGATGCTCTTATCCAGACTGCAAAGCTGAAGCAACATTTAAAAATAAACAAACATCAGAAGCTACCAAGTGTAAGACAGAGTAGCCTATGATATAAACTTACAGTATAATATAATATATAATATGCACATGAAATAAAGAGATCTAAAAAGCAAAGGAAATTGGATTTATGTATCACTTTAATTTGACAGAAAATAAGATTTAGGAAAATTTGAAAAAAAACATGTTCTGCCATTTTAAACTGAGATGAGTAAAACGATTTGTATTTTCTTCTCATTTCAGCCAAACGACCTCCACCTCGTAAGTACAATCTTGTTTTTATTCTATTGTCTGTGATCTGACATGCACTCTGTAGATTACAAAAGTGTTTCAGTGTGAGCTGAAGTAGTTCAATGCAGGAAAAGAGGACTAAGTGTGTTTCTGCCTTACAGCTCCTGTCAACAGCTCTGAGCTCTCTGAGAGACTGAATCTAGAAACAAGACTGACAAACACACCAACCTGCACCTTAGACTGTATAAAAGCCCTGCACACAGTGATTTCATGTTGGACAGCAAAACAGTAAATGCTGCAACTGCGTTAATGCTGCTTTCCAAATTGCTCGAAACTTGGAAATTTCAAAGTTACAATTTCTGACTGACTGATAATTATCATCATGTACTCTTTATCGAGTGTGCACACAACTGCATGAACCCTCAGCTGTGCACTTAGTATTAATTAAAAAGAGCTTTTGTAATGAAAACAAGTGACATACATACGTCAGTTGGTAATCCTCAAAACTCAATAAATTTGTGTACTTCCTAATGGTTTTTTCTATTTTTCCTGAATAACTGTGCAGAGAAGACGACTTTTAGAGACTGTTTGCATGACCAGGTCTTACTATATGATGGTATGTATTATTTTAATTCGATACAGGCACATATACTTTATGTCGTCCTTTAGTTTATGCTTTACCATCTACAAGTTGCCATGGGAGCTGCCATTGTTGTGTGACATCATTCATTTTTGTAGTACAACTTTTGTATTGAAACTGTGTATTTTTTGTTTGCTGTGTTTGATCCAGAAGAGGTGGCTTTTGTTGAGGTATGCCATCTTGTGAAGATTTGAACTGAGATGAGGACTCATTAATTGGTGCTGGAACTGTGGGTTTTGTATTGAGCACTGACCGCATAATACACCGTGTTGTAATGTTTTGTGTAACCTAAATATACAACATAGCTTACATTAAATGATGCCTAAATGAGCAGGTTGTAATTCCTTCATTTAACGCCTACATTTCAAAAGTACCAGATTAAATTTCTGAGTGGCAGATGAAAAAATGACTTGCCTGCCACAGTGGGAAAAACAAGTGAATTTCAGACTGTACCTCCTGTTAAATAAGCTTTCTTAATTTAAAAGCAAAGAAACCTGAGATTGTTTTGCCGTTCGCTGTGTCACATGAAACATCTGTGTCACATTACAGCTGTAAAGAAAATATCTGCAAACAGATGAGCAACAATACCTAGCTTTACATATATATAGATACAAAACTTTTAAGAACAATAAAAAAAGGCAAGAACTCGCTTTTTTGAAAGTGATTTATTTGCACTGCCATGTCATTTCTTTTGTACTGATGTTTTACTTTTCTATAAAATTGCTTTATGAAAAGTCACACAAGTTCACCATCTGTGTCTGTAGGTTCATTGACATTAATGCACTTTTATACACTATTATCACAGAGACTAAATGAATGTAGCTCCAAACTGTGAAATTATAAAGGAAGGACAAAATCAGCAGTGCAGATATGTGACACACTGCTGGTTTTATAGACTGTATTGGAGGTAATCCTTAAGTATAATGTTATAAGAAAGCACTACTTACAACTTTAATTAATGGTATAATTTGTTGTCTCAAGACATTGGTCACCTCACTGCCAGTCAGATTTTAAATGTTGTTCTTTAACCTATGGCATTACTTTGTTACTTGAGCTGTCACACACAGATCCCCCTCTTTATAAGAGATATAAATTATATAATAATTTTATTCAGGCTACAGTTACTCCAATTTTCTGCATATTGCCTACTTGCTCTTGCATTGATAAAATCTATTATTTTTATACTAACATTTCACATTAGAGGTGTTTTCTTTTAGTGAAAGAAAAATATGAATGGTGTGTGTGTGTGTGTGTGTGTGTGTATAAGTCAGGTCTATTGAAATAAGAGTCATGAAGGCACTTCCTGAATCAGAACTTCATTTTTCTTATCACAACCAAAAAAGTAGCTAGTAGGACCAAAAGTCTCTTATGAGATACACATGTGGAGCTATTTCAAAGCTACTGACTGAACTTCTAGCCTACAGTTGCTCTTTATTTTGCATCAGAACAGAAAGCAGAACAGTAAAGTTAAATGTCTCATATTAACTTAAACTTAACTTATTCCAGTCATCAGTGAAATGAAACATTTTGACTGTGGCTGTTTGGAAATGCCTCCAACACACCTGGCCATGCGACATCATCTTATTTTGTTTGATTATTATGGACAGTCCATCCCAACGGACTTCATCATCTGATCCAATTCATATTTAAGTTTCTATTCATGGAATCTGGGGTGAGTGAAAATATTGTGGTGTATCCGCAAAGCTACTGTTCAGACATTTGGTGCCTTTATTAACCACTTATCTTGCAGCTTGTTATTCAGAAATATAGTGGCTGCATTTTGTTTGTCATAAATAGATTGTTTTGAGATATTGGGAGAGGGAATTGCATTATTACTTCTTCTATTACAAAACCCCACAACATAACACCCTGGCGCCACTTGGTGTGAACACTGTGACATTACATCAGTACAATATGATTGTTGTACGATATTTACTAAATTAGCTCGCTACTTTTATTTCATTATTATTTGGTATAAGGTGGAAATGTGCTCATATTATGTCTTTCTAGTGTAAATCACCATGTTCCTCATTAATCTCTGTTCTTATCCCACTCACAACGTTTAACTGTAAAACTTTCGAAACTGAATGAAACTCTATGAAGCATATACGTGAAGTTCATGTCGGATTCTTAATTTGAAACGACCTCAGACCGACCAAACAGGCTTAAACACAACCTGTGGTTTCATGTTTCAGAATCATACGTCCACCTCCAGTCATAACAAAAAACACTCCCACCTCCTTCCGTGAGGAAAAAATAATAGGATAGAAGATAAAACAGCTGCTCGGTTAGCTCCAGCTTTATAAGACTTTGTTTTAACTTATTCATACTGTATACATCATGACGAGTGAGATGGTAATGTGTGCATACTTACACTGAATGCATACATCTTGTTTGTCCTACAGTGCAACACTCCCTGAATTTTTCTTCACTGCATCTCTTGGAGTCTCGGACTTTGAGCTTGTGGCTACATCATATGTTGATGGCATTATGTTGGGTTACTGCAACAGCACCCGAAAGACAGCAGAACCAAGAGAGGACTGGGTGAAAAAAATGTTAGAAAACGAAACTGATCTCCTGAACTTGAATCAGTACACTCAACGGTGTTTTGAGAGTTATGGCCTCAAAGCCAGGATTGACAGTTTTAAGCAGCTCTTCGGCCAAAGTGGAGGTATAGCTTATTATAAAGTCTATAAAATCTATACTACTGTTGTAGGCAATTTCACGTTTTACTGCTGAACTGTTCTGCATGTTTTGAAGTTACGTGACCCTCCACAGGGCCACAACATAATATTCAGGACCACTTGCCATCATAGGTGTCATTTAGACTGGGTACCCTTGGTTACCACCACTTTTTGAAATAGCTAATTTTGTCCCCATCGCTTTTTTTTTTTAAAGGATTTGTAAAAAAAAAATAAATAAATAAATAAAAATAAAAAGATTTACTTGCACAATAAGACAACATAAGACAATATAATTTAAATCTAGAAACACGTGCATTGCCAAGAAAGTAACTTAAGCATCAAAAAAAGCTACTGATTACTGCATTATATTCCATTTACACCATATATTGGTGCAGAAAATCTCTCTAGAATGCAGTAAATTAACAGTTTAATGCTCAAAATCTTCTAGGGGAAGAACCCCCCCCCCCCACTGATAAATTTTGGCATTGAAAATTTCTTCAAAATAAATAATATATAAAATAAATAAAATTAAATATCTTCTCGTCTTGTTTTCGTGACCAAAAGTCTTTCACGCTCCGTCTGAGATTTGCTTCCCAGTCATTTCTATGTGAAAGGGGTAGGCTACGACAGATTCGCTTCAGGAATTGACCAGCCTCCTTCAATTGGTGCAGACGAAAATGTGATTTAATTTTGACAGCCGAAATCGAGAGGTAGCCTAATATTCAGAAATTGCGAAGGAGTGGGTGGCATTGGCCTGTCATTTAAATATTGTTTGTTCACATTCTTGATTTATGTAACCTGATGTTACTGTAGCCTACTCATTACGTTTTGGGGTTATTTTGATTATTTAAGTTTACCATGGTAATTTATGTTGCTGATTAAACTTTAGGCCTTTAGAGTATATTCTGTAGTAAGTTATATACATTTCAGTAGGAATAGTTCGTTATTTTAGGACTTACAGTCAAGTTTTATTATTACATATATAAAACTTGGCCATCATATCACAGGTCACAACAATAGTTGTCCTTCAGGCAATGCATAGTATTTTTAAGATCATCTTTCCTCATGAGATCATTTGTACATCATTGAAGTCTGTCTCTCTCTCTCTCTCAGGTGTCCACATTTTACAGAGGATTAGTGGCTGTGAATGGGATAATGAGACTGGAGAGATTAATGGTTTTAATCATTATGGTTATGATGGAGAAGACATCATATCATTTGACCTGAAGACATTGACATGGATCGCTGTGAACCCAGAGGCTGTCACCATCAAAGAGAGATGGGATGCTGACAAATCCAGAATAACATACAACCAACAGTTCCTCATTGAGATTTGTCCTCAGTGGCTAAAGATGTGTTTGGCCTATGGGAGGAGCTCTCTACTAAGAACAGGTATCACATGACCTGATGTAGTTTCATGGACTTAACTGGCATGAACTGTTATTGCATTATCACTCCAATCAGTCTGACATAGCCTTTTATTGGTGATTGATTGAGCCCTAACCAATCAGAAGAGACTGACATTTTTCCATCAGCACTGAGACTGTGATAACCAGTGCACAGTTAACATGAGTTAATTAAGTTTACAAAGTTTCAGTGTTTCAGAATAGAAAGATTGTTGTTTTTTCACTAAACATTGACACTTTGATTGACTGCTTTGCTGTGAACCATAAAAAGTGTCAGATCATTTCTCTCTTCTGACTGTAGTGAGTTTCTTTAGTGGTGGTGTTTTTCCCTTCTCTGTCGATATAAAGACATTGTGGAGGTTGTGTATCAAAAATGGGTTGTTATGTAACGCTGTTGTAAGTTCTTACAGCTCCCTCCATTGTCTTTCTCTCTCTTTACTCTCCAGAGCTTCCCTCAGTGTCTCTCCTCCAGAAGACTCCCTCCTCTCCAGTCAGCTGCCACGCTACAGGTTTCTACCCTGACAGAGTCACGATGTTCTGGAGGAAAGATGGAGAGGAGCTTCATGAGGACGTGGACCTCGGAGAGATCCTCCCCAACAACGATGGATCCTTCCAGAGGAGTGTTGACCTGAATCTTTCATCAGCCACACCTGAAGACTGGAGGAGGTACGACTGTGTGTTTCATCTCTCTGGTGTGAAGGACGACATCGTCACCAAACTGGACAAAACAAAGATCAGAACAAACTGGGGCAAAACTCTGTTTAGTAATGACAAAGGTGCGAAACACTTTTTTTTTTTTTTTTTTTTTGCTGAATGGTCTCATCATGGTCTTTCTATTTTTGCAGTGGAAAGTGTGGTACGGTGGAGTGGAAATAAGGCGCAGTTAAAATTGGGCAGTAGTTACGATTACTGTAATCCTGTATATTTCTTAGTTATTATTAGATTATATTGTAACTGTATGTGTGATGAACATCTTGTTGCAATCACATTTTCTTTATTTGTTTTTTATATATTTTTATTCTGAGCAGATGAGTCCAGTAACATCACCATCCCGATTACTGCTACAGTGGTTGTTCTTGCTGTCGTCCTCATTGCTGTTATTGGATTTACTGCTTACAAAAAAAAGAAAGGTGAGAGACTCAAAAGAGCTGAGTTGATGCTCTTATCCAGACTAATAAAACTGACATCTGAAGCAACCAACAGGGTTAGACAGAGTAGCCTATGATATAAACTTACAATATAATATACACAATATAAAGAGATCTAAAAAGAAATGGAAACGGGATTTATATTTCAATTTAATTTAAATGAGAAATGAGATAAAGGAGAATGAGGAAAAAATATGTTCTGCCATTTTACACTGAAATGAGTGAAATGATTTGTCTTTTCTTCTTATTTCAGCCAAACAACTTCCACCTCTTAAGTTGTATCTTGTTTTTATTTTGTTGTTCTGTTGTTCTGTTGTTCTGTTTATTCTGATCTGACATGCACTCTGCAGATTGAAAAGGTGTTTCAGTGAGAGCTGAGGTAGTTCCGTGCAGGAAAAGAGGACTAAAAGTGTGTTTCTGACCTTACAGCTCCTGTCAACAGCTCTGAGCTCTCTGAGAGACTGAATCCAGAAACAACACAACACCCTGCACCATAGACTGAATAAAAGCCGTTGCACAAAGTCACGTCATGTGGTACGGAAACATTAACAAACTGTAAATGCTGTGACTGTGTTTATGCTGCTTTCCAGATTTACAGGTGAGCATGTCAGCATTGTTTTAAGTCTCATTTCCAAGTTAAAATTTCCAACTTCCGACCTCAAAGTCTTCCAGGTGCATCATGGTGCATGACGCCAAAAGTGAACAAAAAATATGGCTGACCGTGACAAACTGATGGGTCTTTATCAAGTGTGCACACTACTGAACCCTCAACAGTGCCCTCAGTATTAATTAAAAATATCCATTATGATGAAAACCAGCGGCATAAACATACATTACTTGTTAGCTGTGTACCTACATCAGTTTGTAATCTTCAAAAGCCGTTTCCTAATGTTTTCAATTTTTTGTCATTTTTGTTATTTTCCTGACTAACTTTTCTGCAGAGGTGACGACTTTCAGGAAAATGCACAACAGAAAGACACACACACACCAGCAGTCAGCTCAGGGAATATCAAATGCGGTGTTTCAAACCAAATTTACCAGTGGAAGAGGCCCAGATTGTATTGATTCACAGCCAGTGTGCAGCTTACCAACAGCACCGGCCAGACTACGGGACGTCACTCTGGTGCTGTCACAGAACCACTAAGCTTGTACATTAAATGCAAGAGTTGTCACTAGGTTTTATTTTTGTACACCAATTTTATATATAATTTTATGTGCATGCACTGACTAATAATATATACTTTATATCATGTTTGCATACTAATTGTGCATGCAAACATGAATGTAATGTTTTTGTGTAGCCTAAATATATTGAACATTGAATTACAGCGTAGTTCACATTAAATTATGCCTTGTTGTGACCCCACACTTCACTAACATACAGTAGAAGTGGTTCCATTATAGATTTGACTATTTTGAGCCAGAGTCTAACATGTTTGAAGACAAAAATAGTAAAAAAGCCTTTCTTCCATTGTCTCTGAGAGTTTTGTATAGTACTGATTGTATTTAAATAGCACCAAGAAGTTATCCCATTGCACTTTTCTCTCTCTCCCTCTCCAGTCAGCTGCAGTGCATCAGGTTTCTAGCTGAAGTAACCGACAGTAGCGCTGTGAGTCATGATAATATGACTATTCCATGATGATAAGGTGGCGAAAGATATTCTGGCACTTTCAACAGGAACTGAAATAATTTATCTTCTCTTTTTATTTCAGCCAAATTTCCACCATCTTGTAGGAAACTTTTATTTTATTTCAACTGGTCTGACACATTTAAAAGTGGTTTCAAATTATTTTGAAGATGAAACATTACAAGACTTTAAGGTATATTTCAGGATGAGTGGAGTTTACACTGTTTCACCCAGTTTGTTTCTGACGCCAAATGAAACAAATAAACAATCCTGCATCCTGAATTGCTTCGTGTGGGATAAGAAAACAGTAAATTACTGTGACATGCATGTCTGTGAGTATTTTCTCTGTATTTTAGATATTTTGTGGTTTTCTATTTTGTGGTCTTAGTTTTCTCTTTTTAGGTAGCCTATTTTGTGGTTGCACTGTTGGTAACCTTTGTGGAGTGTAGACTTACAGATAGTTTCGCTTTTATTTGTAGAGGTTTTATGAAAAATGAATGTGATAATATGTGATATATAATTTTAAACATGAGTATAACATTTATTGTATATTGGGTCATTTTAGTGTGTACATAATTGTGTGTGTGTGCAATTATTGTGTAATGTTTTTTTCTCTTTTATTCTCAGGATGAATCCAAACACACTGAATGAGTTACCTCACATGACATGTGACACGTTATTCATTTTAGTTCAATTTTATTTATATAGCACCAATTCAAAACAGAAGTTATCTTATTTCACTTTTTTTTATAGAGCAAGTCTAGACCGTACTCTTTGTAATATTATTTACAGAGACCCAACAGTTCCCTCCATGAGCATGCACTTACTCTCAGTAGCTTTACAGAATTAAAAGAGACTGAAAGATGGCTTCCTGCAACAAAATCAATACATTAAATTTCATCATCATCATTTTTGAATATTGAATATAATATTTGAATAACTACATGAATTACAGGTTTCTGTTTGCTAAGACAGGACATAATTAATGAAAGGTTTCTCATACCACATGTGTTTATAACTAGTGTCTATTAGAAAGACTAGTGGAAACAGAAATACAGAGATGCTGGTTGGACTACTGAGATGGCCATGGCATTCACATCAAGTTGCATTTAAGTTAGTTAAGCCAGTGTAGTTTAGCCTGAGGAGATTCAATGTAGATAATAGGCCTAATGATAGCTCAAAACATACTTTAACCTGAACATTGGGCTTTTCTCTAAAGTTAATATATTTCTGTGTAGCGTAGGCTAATGTAATCTGTGACTGTTTTCAACAGATGCTGTAATGTTGCAACCTCGAGATGTTGATGTCTCTGACACACCTCGCCATGCATAATCATCTAATTGGTTTGATTATTATAAAAAGTCAGTTTCAAACGCATCAGCCCACAGAATCATCTGATCCAATTCATATTTATTTATCTTATTTGGAATCTGGGGTGGGTGGAAATATTGTGGTGTAGCCACAAAGCTACTGTTCAGACATTTGATGCCTTAAATAAACTTTTATTTAACAGGTTATTTTAGGCAGGAGTGGCTGAATTTTGTTTGTCATAAATAGATTGTTTTGAGATTTTGGGCGAGAGTGTTGCAGATTTTTTAAAGGAAGGTCCAAAGAAAAATATTAGTAGCCAAATGCTGGATGGTCCTGCTTTTTATAAGATGAAATAGGAGATATCAGTGTTAATTCTGAGCAGAGTTAGCATGAAGTAGAGAAAGAACAGCGAGCCAGTAGCTCTGTAAAAGCTGCCTTCTAACAAGATGGGTGTCATGTAAAAAGAGAAAATTAAACGTTGTGTAGGCTACTTTTTTCTGCACAGTTCACATAATCACAATCTTGTTGGCTAAATATGTTAATAAAGTCCTTCTGTTTTTATGGGTTGGAATAGAAGCTGACAGATGGTTTTTCTTTCCGTCTCTATTACTGTCTCCACTTTTTCTAGCTTTCTTCCTTTCCCTCTCTCTGTCCTCTTTCTCCACCTGACATCTTCTATTCCCTCTTCTCTCTTTGTGTCTCTCTCTTTCCCTCTGCTCCCGCTCCTCTTTAATATCCTGAACTTGATTTGCCCGACATACCAAATCACACCACACTGTATCACTGCTGTCTGTCACCCTCCTAAATTCAGAATACATTACTAGATTTGTGAATTGCGAAGTAAAAATGACTATATCCACTTTGATAACACTGTAATATCCAGTCTATATGATACACGTAACACGTTGTCTTTGAGCTGTTATTTCAACATGTGTAATCACTAACTGTGGGCCAAACCTTCTGTTCTCGAGTAATATACTTTTATTCTACAAGGTGTTTACAAAGAACTGCATAATTATTTTTCCATCCACATTGTGAAAAATTTGATGTATCAGTCTGGTACCTCACTTGCATTCAACTGTAAGGCTTTACACAGGGCGGTGAAAACTGCTCAGCACATTGCCAGGATGGAGCTGCCATCCATAGAGGACCTCTACACCCAGTGGTGCAGAAGGAAGGCCAACAGGATCATCAAGGACCCCCAACAACCTCAGCCACAAACTGTTCTGTCTGCTACAGGTATTAAAATGTATATTAGTGCAGTGCCTGTCTATAAATCCAGTTCTTACATGCCCATATGCCAGGATCTGCAGATACACAGACACATACTATTTCATTTGAAACGGGCTCAAATTACATGCTGGACTTGAATTATTCACCAAGTAAGGCAGTGAAAAAAAACATCTAATGATAAGGAAAGCAAGTGTGACGCAGACTATCAGCGGAAAGAGAGAGAGAGGGAGTGTGTGAGGACTGAAGGATCGACTTAATATAAAAACAAGCGAATGTTACTCTAGTTTTGTGGTTTATCAGTGAAGTGGAAGAACTACACTGCAGACTGGAGTCTCTGTTAACAGTGACAGACAGACGTTGATCGTCTCCTCTATGAAAATCTATGATGATTGAACTATGATGAACTGATCGTGGGTCACATTCCTCTCATGTAGAGGCGCTGGAAACCCCTTGGACTTTTCCTAACCAGGAAGCAATCGTGACTGAAAACAACTCAGCTGCAACTCAGTCTTAAACCCGCACGTCTTTATCAAAACAAGATGAAAAAGTTATTTTTGTTGCTTCTCTGCTGTCACGTTTCATCAGCAGGTAAGATCAGATTTTAAATAATTACTTCAAGCTCTTTGCTCCACTTTCCACACAGCTCTGCATTTTGCGCACTTGTTGTTTAGTTTCGCTTTTAACGTAGCCTAACTTGATAATCCTGATGTTATTCCACTGAATTAGCCTGAATACATCATATGTATAATGCGTGTGATGATGTGTGTGTATCAATAGTGAATAGATAAACCTTGTTTGTCCTACAGTGAAACACTCCCTGAAGTTTTTCTTAACTGCATCTTCTGGAGTCCCAGACTTCCCAGAGTTTGTAGCAGTTGCAGTGGTTGATGGTATTCTGGCGGCTTACTGCGACAACATCATCAAGAAAGTAGAACCAAAACAGGACTGGGGGAAACAAACATTAGAAAACGACCCTCAGCAGTTGGAGTTTTACAACAGACAGTTTTTTGAGAGACTGCCGAGCCGCTTCAAAGCTGAGATTTATAATTTAAAGCAGCGCTTCAATCAAAGTGGAGGTAAAGTATTTATGAATGTTATGTTTTATGTTTTTCTGCTAAACGTTGTGTTTTCTATAATGTTTGACAAACAGATACGGCTTCAACTGAGACTGCATCTGCTGTATGTGACTCACAGGACTGACTGTTTATTTGAGAGTTTAATGTGCATATAATGCAAGAAGTCATACCCACCTTGTATAGTGCCATTGACAGCCATCCATCAAATTGGAGAATAATAACTAGCCTACCATTGTAACTAACAGTAAAATAAAGCAAGATGGAGGTATATCATCTGTCAGTCTATTCTGTCTCTGTCTCTCTCTCAGGTGTCCACATTTTACAGGAGATGAGTGGCTGTGAGTGGGATGATGAAAGTGGAGAGTTTAATGGTTTTATGCAGTATGGTTATGATGGAGAAGACTTCATGGTATTCGACCTGAAGACATTGACTTGGATTGCTCCGAAACAACAGGCTGTCACCACCAAATTGAGATGGGATACTTTGAAAGCTGCGATAAAACACATTGAGGATATCCTCATTCAGATGTGTCCTGCGTGGTTGAAGACGTATGTGTCCTATGGCAAGAGCTCTCTGCTGAGAACAGGTAGATTGACACGACCTGATGGACACAACAATGTTCATATATCCTGCCATTGTATTATCACTCCCAAGAGTCTGACATTACCATTATTTGGTGGCAATAAGATTTGATTTAGCCATGGACAATAAGTAGACACTGACATTTTTGGGTGCTCTGATATTACTGCACTGAACAAAATTATAAACATATCTGTCAAAATCTGTTTTAGTGAGCACTTCCCCTTTGTCGAGATAATCCATCCACCTCACAGGTGTGGCATATCAAGATGCTGATCAGACAGCATGGGTATTGCACAGGTGTGCCTTAGGCTGGCCACAATAAAAGGCCACTCGAAGATGTTGACAGATTTGTGAACAATATTTGAGAGAAATATGCCTTTTGTGTACACAGAGAAAGTCTTAGATCTTTGAGTTCAGCTCTGGATGAATGGGGGTAAAAACAAGTGTTGCGTTTATAATTTTGTTCAGTATAGAAAGCACGTTTGGCGTTGTGATTCCAGTCGTGCTGTTGTTGGTTTACATAATTAATGATCAACAGTTG